CACTTTAGCGGGGGGCAACGATACACGGGCCGGTTTGACCTTCAAACGGGGGGGTAAACCGCGGGCCGCCCCGGGGGGATGGCGCGGTGGATATGGCGCCTTCAGGCGGTGGCAGCGGAGGCTTCTGGGGGGGGCGCGCCAACCAGCCGGCAGGCGACGGAGACGGCGCTCTCGACAGCGCGCCGCACCCAGCGCTCGCTCCAGAGCGCCGGCACGCACGGCGCGATCATCGGACGGAAGGGGCGGACGGTGCAGGCCTTTGCGCACCCCTCGAGCGCGTCCGAGCTCATTGGCGCTGAGACCGCCCCTTCAACGGCCGCTGTCGGGGCGAACCTCGCCGTCGGCGGGACTGAAGACAACGGCGAAGAGCATGGCCTCGCCGCACAGCTCCACGCGGGCAAGGGGCGCGTCGGCACCGGCGGTGGGAGTGGCTCCTCCCCACCCGGCCTCCTACTGGGCAGTACCTCTAGTCCCGGCGCTGACAGCGACGTGGTCGACCCTTCGTCGGGCGTGACCGCGGCTGTCCGCGCGAGCGCCACGGCGCACTCCGCTGGCACGCGGGCGGCGACGATCCGCGCGGCGTCCGCCGAGCAGGGCAGCAACGCGAGTCGGCTCGCGTCTCCCAAGGCGCTTCCCTCTGGGCTGGTCTCAAGTTGCCGGATGCGGCTCTCTGAGCCCACCCTCCCGTGCCGCGCCGACGTCGGCGAGGCGCTGGGCACGTCGTGGGCCACCGGGCAGCAGCTGCTTCAGCCTACGCAGGAGCGGAAGCTGCTCCAGGCCGGCGCGCGCGGCTTCGTGCGCGCCATCGTCGACAAGATCAGCACCTTAGTGGCGGTGACGCAGCAGGGCCCGCTACGCTCTGAGCGCATGGCTTGCGCGGACCTGTCGCAGATGAACGCGGCGGAGGGCGCCGTCCTGACGGCGGCCGTGCTGCCCTTCGCCCACGAGCGTGGCGCGGCGGCGGCCATGACCGCCAGCGGCCCCATCGCGGGCGACACGGATCACGGCCGGTTCGACCTCAGCCAGTGGCTCAGCCGCGGCCGCGCCGGCGGCTGCAGCGGTGGCTATGGCGCCTCCGGCGGCGGCAGCGGCGGCTCTGGCGGCGGCGGCGCAAGCAGCCGGCAGGCGACGGAGACGGCGCTCTCGACAGCGCGCCGCACCCAGCGCTCGCTCCAGAGCGCCGGCACGCACGGCGCGATCATCGGACGGAAGGGGCGGACGGTGCAGGCCTTTGCGCACCCCTCGAGCGCGTCCGAGCTCATTGGCGCTGAGACCGCCCCTTCAACGGCCGCTGTCGGGGCGAACCTCGCCGTCGGCGGGACTGAAGACAACGGCGAAGAGCATGGCCTCGCTGCACAGCTCCACGCGGGCAAGGGGCGCGTCGGCACCGGCGGTGGGAGTGGCTCCTCCCCACCCGGCCTCCTACTGGGCAGTACCTCTAGTCCCGGCGCTGACAGCGATGTGGTCGCCGACCCTTTGTCGGGCGTGACCGCGACTGTCCGCGCGAGCGCCACGGCGCACTCCGCTGGCACGCGGGCGGCGACGCTCCGCGCGGCGTCCGCCGTGCAGGACAGCAACGCGAGTCGGCTCGCGTCTCCCAAGGCGCTTCCCTCTGGGCTGGTCTCAAGTTGCCGGATGCGGCTCTCTGAGCCCACCCTCGCCTGCCGTGCCGACGTCGGCGAGGCGCTGGGCACGTCGTGGGCCACCGGGCAGCAGCTGCTTCGGCCTACGCAAGGCGAGAAGCTGCTCCAGGCCGGCGCGCGCGGCTTCGTGCGCGCCATCGTCGACAAGATCAGCACCTTAGTGACGGTGACGCAGCAGGGCCGGCTACGCTCTGAGCGCATGGCTTGCGCGGACCTGTCGCAGGAGAAGGCGGCGGAGGGCGCCGTCCTGACGGCGGCCGTGCTGCCCTTCGCCCACGAGCGTGGCGCGGCGGCGGCCATGACCGCCAGCGGCCCCATCGCGGGCGACACGGATCACGGCCGGGACCTCAGCCAGTGGCTCAGCCGCGGCCGCGCCGGCGGCGGTTGCGGCGGCGGCTATGGCGGCTCCGGCGGCGGCAGCGGCGGCTCTGGCGGCGGCGGCGCAAGCAGCCGGCAGGCGACGGAGGCGGCGGTCTCGACAGCGCGCCGCACCCAGCGCTCGCTCCAGAGCGCCGGCACGCACGGCGCGATCATCGGACGGAAGGGGCGGACGGTGCAGGCCTTTGCGCACCCCTCGAGCGCGTCCGAGCTCATTGGCGCTGAGACCGCCCCTTCAACGGCCGCTGTCGAGGCGAACCTCGCCGTCGGCGGGGCTGAAGACAACGGCGAAGAGCACGGCCTCGCCGCACAGCTCCACGCGGGCAAGGGGCGCGTCGGCACCGGCGGTGGGAGCGGCTCCTCCCCACCCGGCCTCCTACTGGGCAGTACCTCTAGTCCCGGCGCTGACAGCGACGTGGTCGCCGACCCTTCGTCGGGCGTGACCGCGACTGTCCCCGCGAGCGCCACGGCGCACCCCACTGGCACGCGGGCGGCGACGGCCCGTGCGGCGTCCGCCGTGCAGGGCAGCAACGCGAGTCGGCTCGCGTCTCCCAAGGCGCTTCCCTCTGGGCTGGTCTCAAGTTGCCGGATGCGGCTCTCTGAGCCCACCCTCCCGTGCCGCGCCGACGTCGGCGAGGCGCTGGGCACGTCGTGGGCCACCGGGCAGCAGCTGCTTCGGCCTACGCAGGGCGAGAAGCTGCTCCAGGCCGGCGCGCGCGGCTTCGTGCGCGCCATCGTCGACAAGATCAGCACCTTAGTGACGGTGACGCAGCAGGGACGGCTGCGCTCTGAGCGCATGGCTTGCGCGGACCTGTCGCAGATGAACGCGGCGGAGGGCGCCGTCCTGACGGCGGCCGTGCTGCCCTTCGCCCACGAGCGTGGCGCGGCGGCGGCCATGACCGCCAGCGGCCCCATCGCGGGCGACACGGATCACGGCCGGTTCGACCTCAGCCGGTGGCTCAGCCGCGGCCGCGCCGGCGGCTGCGGCGGTGGCTATGGCGCCTCCGGCGGCGGCAGCGGCGGCTCTGGCGGCGGCGGCGCAAGCAGCCGGCAGGCGACGGAGGCGGCGCTCTCGACAGCGCGCCGCACCCAGCGCTCGCTCCAGAGCGCCGGCACGCACGGCGCGATCATCGGACGGAAGGGGCGGACGGTGCAGGCCTTTGCGCACCCCTCGAGCGCGTCTGAGCTCATTGGCGCTGAGACCGCCCCTGCAACGGCCGCTGTCGGGGCGAATCTCGCCGTCGGCGGGGCTGAAGTCAACGGCGAAGAGCATGGCCTCGCCGCACAGCTCCACGCGGGCAAGGGGCGCGTCGGCACCGGCGGTGGGAGTGGCTCCTCCCCACCCGGCCTCCTACTGGGCAGTACCTCCAGTCCCGGCGCTGACAGCGATGTGGTCACCGACCCTTTGTCGGGCGTGACCGCGACTGTCCGCGCGAGCGCCACGGCGCACTCCGCTGGCACGCGGGCGGCGACGCTCCGCGCGGCGTCCGCCGTGCAGGGCAGCAACACGAGTCGGCTCGCGTCTCCCAAGGCGCTTCCCTCTGGGCTGGTCTCAAGTTGCCGGATGCGGCTCTCTGAGCCCACCCTCCGCTGCCGCGCCGACGTCGGCGAGGCGCTGGGCACGTCGTGGGCCGCCGGGCAGCAGCTGCTTCGGCCTACGCAGGGCGAGAAGCTGCTCCAGGCCGGCGCGCGCGGCTTCGTGCGCGCCATCGTCGACAAGATCAGCACCTTAGTGGCGGTGACGCAGCAGGGCCCGCTACGCTCTGAGCGCATGGCTTGCGCGGACCTGTCGCAGACGAACGCGGCGGAGGGCGCCGTCCTGACGGCGGCCGTGCTGCCCTTCGCCCACGAGTGTGGCGCGGCGGCGGCCATGACCGCCAGCGGCCCCATCGCGGGCGACACGGATCACGGCCGGTTCGACCTCAGCCAGTGGCTCAGCGGTGGCCGTGCCGGCGGCTGCGGCGGTGGCTATGGCGCCTCCGGCGGCGGCAGCGGCGGCTCTGGCGGCGGCGGCGCAAGCAGCCGGCAGGCGACGGAGACGGCGCTCTCGACAGCGCGCCGCACCCAGCGCTCGCTCCAGAGCGCCGGCACGCACGGCGCGATCATCGGACGGAAGGGGCGGACGGTGCAGGCCTTTGCGCACCCCTCGAGCGCGTCCGAGCTCATTGGCGCTGAGACCGCCCCTCCAACGGCCGCTGTCGGGGCGAACCTCGCCGTCGGCTGGGCTGATGACAACGGCGAAGAGCATGGCCTCGCTGCACAGCTCCACGCGGGCAAGGGGCGCGTCGGCACCGGCGGTGGGAGTGGCTCCTCCCCACCCGGCCTCCTACTGGGCAGTACCTCCAGTCCCGGCGCTGACAGCGATGTGGTCACCGACCCTTCGTCGGGCGTGACCGCGACTGTCCGCGCGAGCGCCACGGCGCACTCCGCTGGCACGCGGGCGGCGACGCTCCGCGCGGCGTCCGCCGTGCAGGGCAGCAACACGAGTCGGCTCGCGTCTCCCAAGGCGCTTCCCTCTGGGCTGGTCTCAAGTTGCCGGATGCGGCTCTCAGAGCCCACCCTCGCCTGCCGCGCCGACGTCGGCGAGGCGCTGGGCACGTCGTGGGCCACCGGGCAGCAGCTGCTTCGGCCTACGCAGGGCGAGAAGCTGCTCCAGGCCGGCGCGCGCGGCTTCGTGCGCGCCATCGTCGACAAGATCAGCACCTTAGTGGCGGTGACGCAGCAGGGCCGGCTACGCTCTGAGCGCATGGCTTGCGCGGACCTGTCGCAGATGAACGCGGCGGAGGGCGCCGTCCTGACGGCGGCCGTGCTGCCCTTCGCCCACGAGCGTGGCGCGGCGGCGGCCATGACCGCCAGCCCCCCCATCGCGGGCGACACGGATCACGGCCGGTTCGACCTCAGCCGGTGGCTCAGCGGCGGCCGCGCCGGCGGCTGCGGCGGTGGCTATGGCGGCTCCGGCGGCGGCAGCGGCGGCTCTGGCGGCGGCGGCGCAAGCAGCCGGCAGGCGACGGAGGCGGCGCTCTCGACAGCGCGCCGCACCCAGCGCTCGCTCCAGAGCGCCGGCACGCACGGCGCGATCATCGGACGGAAGGGGCGGACGGTGCAGGCCTTTGCGCACCCCTCGAGCGCGTCCGAGCTCATTGGCGCTGAGACCGCCCCTTCAACGGCCGCTGTCGGGGCGAACCTCGCCGTCGGCGGGACTGAAGACAACGGCGAAGAGCACGGCCTCGCCGCACAGCTCCACGCGGGCAAGGGGCGCGTCGGCACCGACGGTGGGAGTGGCTCCTCCCCACCCGGCCTCCTACTGGGCAGTACCTCTAGTCCCGGCGCTGACAGCGACGTGTTCGCCGACCCTTCGTCGGGCGTGACCGCGACTGTCCGCGCGAGCGCCACGGCGCACCCCACTGGCACGCGGGCGGCGACGGCCCGTGCGGCGTCCGCCGTGCAGGGCAGCAACGCGAGTCGGCTCGCGTCTCCCAAGGCGCTTCCCTCTGGGCTGGTCTCAAGTTGCCGGATGCGGCTCTCTGAGCCCACCCTCCCGTGCCGCGCCGACGTCGGCGAGGCGCTGGGCACGTCGTGGGCCACCGGGCAGCAGCTGCTTCGGCCTACGCAGGGCGAGAAGCTGCTCCAGGCCGGCGCGCGCGGCTTCGTGCGCGCCATCGTCGACAAGATCAGCACCTTAGTGACGGTGACGCAGCAGGGACGGCTGCGCTCTGAGCGCATGGCTTGCGCGGACCTGTCGCAGATGAACGCGGCGGAGGGCGCCGTCCTGACGGCGGCCGTGCTGCCCTTCGCCCACGAGCGTGGCGCGGCGGCGGCCATGACCGCCAGCGGCCCCATCGCGGGCGACACGGATCACGGCCGGTTCGACCTCAGCCGGTGGCTCAGCCGCGGCCGCGCCGGCGGCTGCGGCGGTGGCTATGGCGCCTCCGGCGGCGGCAGCGGCGGCTCTGGCGGCGGCGGCGCAAGCAGCCGGCAGGCGACGGAGGCGGCGCTCTCGACAGCGCGCCGCACCCAGCGCTCGCTCCAGAGCGCCGGCACGCACGGCGCGATCATCGGACGGAAGGGGCGGACGGTGCAGGCCTTTGCGCACCCCTCGAGCGCGTCCGAGCTCATTGGCGCTGAGACCGCCCCTTCAACGGCCGCTGTCGGGGCGAACCTCGCCGTCGGCGGGACTGAAGACAACGGCGAAGAGCATGGCCTCGCCGCACCGCTCCACGCGAGCAAGGGGCGAGTCGGCACCGACGGTGGGAGTGGCTCCTCCCCACCCGGCCTCCTACTGGGCAGTACCTCTAGTCCCGGCGCTGACAGCGACGTGGTCGACCCTTCGTCGGGCGTGACCGCGACTGTCCGCGCGAGCGCCACGGCGCACTCCGCTGGCACGCGGGCGGCGACGGCCCGTGCGGCGTCCGCCGTGCAGGGCAGCAACACGAGTCGGCTCGCGTCTCCCAAGGCGCTTCCCTCTGGGCTGGTCTCAAGTTGCCGGATGCGGCTCTCTGAGCCCACCCTCGCCTGCCGCGCCGACGTCGGCGAGGCGCTGGGCACGTCGTGGGCCACCGGGCAGCAGCTGCTTCGGCCTACGCAGGGCGAGAAGCTGCTCCAGGCCGGCGCGCGCGGCTTCGTGCGCGCCATCGTCGACAAGATCAGCACCTTAGTGACGGTGACGCAGCAGGGACGGCTGCGCTCTGAGCGCATGGCTTGCGCGGACCTGTCGCAGATGAACGCGGCGACCGCCAGCGGCCCCATCGCGGGCGACACGGATCACGGCCGGTTCGACCTCAGCCGGTGGCTCAGCCGCGGCCGCGCCGGCGGCTGCGGCGGTGGCTATGGCGCCTCCGGCGGCGGCAGCGGCGGCTCTGGCGGCGGCGGCGCAAGCAGCCGGCAGGCGACGGAGGCGACGCTCTCGACAGCGCGCCGCACCCAGCGCTCGCTCCAGAGCGCCGGCACGCACGGCGCGATCATCGGACGGAAGGGGCGGACGGTGCCGGCTTTTGCGCACCCCTCGAGCGCGTCTGAGCTCATTGGCGCTGAGACCGCCCCTGCAACGGCCGCTGTCGGGGCGAACCTCGCCGTCGGCGGGGCTGAAGTCAACGGCGAAGAGCATGGCCTCGCCGCACAGCTCCACGCGGGCAAGGGGCGCGTCGGCACCGGCGGTGGGAGTGGCTCCTCCCCACCCGGCCTCCTACTGGGCAGTACCTCCAGTCCCGGCGCTGACAGCGATGTGGTCACCGACCCTTTGTCGGGCGTGACCGCGACTGTCCGCGCGAGCGCCACGGCGCACTCCGCTGGCACGCGGGCGGCGACGATCCGCGCGGCGTCCGCCGTGCAGGGCAGCAACACGAGTCGGCTCGCGTCTCCCAAGGCGCTTCCCTCTGGGCTGGTCTCAAGTTGCCGGACGCGGCTCTCTGAGCCCACCCTCGCCTGCCGCGCCGACGTCGGCGAGGCGCTGGGCACGTCGTGGGCCACCGGGCAGCAGCTGCTTCGGCCTACGCAGGGCGAGAAGCTGCTCCAGGCCGGCGCGCGCGGCTTCGTGCGCGCCATCGTCGACAAGATCAGCACCTTAGTGACGGTGACGCAGCAGGGCCCGCTACGCTCTGAGCGCATGGCTTGCGCGGACCTGTCGCAGATGAACGCGGCGGAGGGCGCCGTCCTGACGGCGGCCGTGCTGCCCTTCGCCCACGAGCGTGGCGCGGCGGCGGCCATGACCGCCAGCGGCCCCATCGCGGGCGACACGGATCACGGCCGGTTCGACCTCAGCCGGTGGCTCAGCCGCGGCCGCGCCGGCGGCTGCGGCGGTGGCTATGGCGCCTCCGGCGGCGGCAGCGGCGGCTCTGGCGGCGGCGGCGCAAGCAGCCGGCAGGCGACGGAGGCGACGCTCTCGACAGCGCGCCGCACCCAGCGCTCGCTCCAGAGCGCCGGCACGCACGGCGCGATCATCGGACGGAAGGGGCGGACGGTGCCGGCTTTTGCGCACCCCTCGAGCGCGTCCGAGCTCATTGGCGCTGAGACCGCCCCTGCAACGGCCGCTGTCGGGGCGAACCTCGCCGTCGGCGGGACTGAAGACAACGGCGAAGAGCATGGCCTCGCCGCACAGCTCCACGCGGGCAAGGGGCGCGTCGGCACCGGCGGTGGGAGTGGCTCCTCCCCACCCGGCCTCCTACTGGGCAGTACCTCTAGTCCCGGCGCTGACAGCGACGTGGTCGACCCTTCGTCGGGCGTGACCGCGACTGTCCGCGCGAGCGCCACGGCGCACTCCGCTGGCACGCGGGCGGCGACGGCCCGTGCGGCGTCCGCCGTGCAGGGCAGCAACACGAGTCGGCTCGCGTCTCCCAAGGCGCTTCCCTCTGGGCTGGTCTCAAGTTGCCGGATGCGGCTCTCTGAGCCCACCCTCGCCTGCCGCGCCGACGTCGGCGAGGCGCTGGGCACGTCGTGGGCCACCGGGCAGCAGCTGCTTCGGCCTACGCAGGGCGAGAAGCTGCTCCAGGCCGGCGCGCGCGGCTTCGTGCGCGCCATCGTCGACAAGATCAGCACCTTAGTGACGGTGACGCAGCAGGGACGGCTGCGCTCTGAGCGCATGGCTTGCGCGGACCTGTCGCAGATGAACGCGGCGGAGGGCGCCGTCCTGACGGCGGCCGTGCTGCCCTTCGCCCACGAGCGTGGCGCGGCGGCGGCCATGACCGCCAGCGGCCCCATCGCGGGCGACACGGATCACGGCCGGTTCGACCTCAGCCAGTGGCTCAGCCGCGGCCGCGCCGGCGGCGGCTGCGGCGGCGGCAGCGGCGGCTCCGGCGGCGGCAGCGGCGGCTCTGGCGGCGGCGGCGCAAGCAGCCGGCAGGCGACGGAGGCGGCGCTCTCGACAGCGCGCCGCACCCAGCGCTCGCTCCAGAGCGCCGGCACGCACGGCGCGATCATCGGACGGAAGGGGCGGACGGTGCAGGCCTTTGCGCACCCCTCGAGCGCGTCCGAGCTCATTGGCGCTGAGACCGCCCCTTCAACGGCCGCTATCGAGGCGAAACTCGCCGTCGGCGGGGCTGAAGTCAACGGCGAAGAGCACGGCCTCGCCGCACCGCTCCACGCGAGCAAGGGGCGAGTCGGCACCGACGGTGGGAGCGGCTCCTCCCCACCCGGCCTCCTACTGGGCAGTACCTCTAGTCCCGGCGCTGACAGCGACGTGGTCATCGACCCCTCGTCGGGCGTGACCGCGACTGTCCACGCGAGCGCCACGGCGCACTCCGCTGGCACGCGGGCGGCGACGGCCCGTGCGGCGTCCGCCGTGCAGGGCAGCAACACGAGTCGGCTCGCGTCTCCCAAGGCGCTTCCCTCTGGGCTGGTCGCAACCTGCCAGAAGCGGCTCTCTGAGCCCACCGTCGCCTGCCGCGCCGACGTCGGCGAGGCACTGGGCACGTCGTGGGCCACCGGGCAGCAGCTGCTTCGGCCTACGCAGGGCGAGAAGCTGCTCCAGACCGGCGCGCGCGGCTTCGAGCGCGCCATCGTCGACAAGATCAGCACTTTGATGAACGTGCGCGCGATCTGTGCGTCAGAGGTCATGATCCTCCAGGGCCCTGACTCGCCGCGTGTCGAAGACAAGGCGCACGGCCATCCGACGCATCTGACAGCCGATGCTGATCGCGGTCGTTGCACGTCGGTGCCGTTCCTCTTCCGTTGTGCGGTCATGCTGGCTTTGCTCTTTGCGGCGTGCTGCGGGTTGCTGCTGCCGCAGCTCAAGAAGGAGAGGATGGAGGGCCGGAGCCACGCAGCTGGCTCCGTGCACCTCCTCTCCAACACACGCGCTCTCCGAGCTGGCATTGTGATCATCTTCTTCCTGCAGGCCGCTCACGCCAATCCATCAGCTCCAATTCCGCCGTCCTCCCCCTCTCTTGGCAATTGCGGTACAGGCACGCTCGAGGTCACGGCCGACACCACGCTCAACACTGACCAGCACCCGTACGGCTTATACTTCAGCTCCATCCTGATTGCCGCCGGCGCGACCCTTAGCGCCAACGGCTCCAAGCCGCTGATCCTCTACGCTGACACATTTGTCGACATCCAAGGCACCATCGACGTGTCGGGTGGAAAGGGTGGCAACTCGGCCGGCGATCACATGTCGGCGGGTGGCGGCGCGGGTGGCGGCGCCGTCAAGATCGTGTCGGCGCAGATCTCAGTCGGGCCCAGTGGCGCCATCCGTGCCGACGGCGGCGACGGCGGCGACGCGGGCGGCCCGGGCCAAAGCTTCACGGCGCCTTGGTTCACCCCTGGCGACGGCGCGGCCGGCGTGGGCGTGGCAGGAGGATATGATGGCGGCGCTGGCGTGGGCTCGAACGAAGGTGGCAAACCAGGTAGCGGGCCAGGCGCGTCGGCGGGAGGCAACTTTTCAACTGGCGTGCCGCCGGGCGCTGGCGGCGCGGGCCACGCGTCTGCAGGTACCGATGGCTTCGGGCAATGGTCTGACATCAGGCCGCCGGGCGGCCCAGCCTACGGAGACGCCGAGCTGTCTGGCGGCCTCCAGGGCGGCAGCGGTGCGGGCAGCGGCGCCAACGACCCCGACAACGAGGAGGGCGCCGGAGGCGGTGGATCGGGCGGCACGATCTATCTCGTGGCGCCGACGCTGCAGATCCAAGGAGTCGTGTCGGTGGCGGGCGGTTTGGGCGGCCGCGACGACTACCACTACAACGGGGAGGCCGACCGAGAGGGCTACAACAACGGCGGGCCGGGCTCGGTCGGCCGCATCCGTCTCGACTACGAAACATTCACCCATGGAACCGCGGCGCCCACCTATTACCAAGGCGAACTTGGTGATTTGAGCCGCTTCTGCACGCCACCGCCATTGTCGCCGCCCTCGCCGCCGACGGCTCCGGCTTTGCCACCTTCACCGCCGCAGCCATGCACCTCGAATCAGGTCCAGCAGAGTGCACCCGATGTCGGTGCTTGGGGCGGCACCTGCACCTGTCCCGACGGTGGCGTTTACCTGGTCGGTGACAACTACGACTTCTGCGCCTCCCTCGCCTGCGTCGGTGGCGTCAGCGGCTCCTGCGAAGAGAATAATCCAGGCGGGAAACACGTGAAAGTCACGTGCGGCACGTGCGACGCACCGCCGTCACCGCCGGCCTCACCGCCGCTGCTGCCGCTGCCGCCGTCCGCTCCACCAATCGACTTCCAGGTCACTGTGGGTGGCGGCCGCTGGCCGGAGGAGGTCTCGTGGGACCTGACGTGCATCGGCGTGCTGATTGGCAGTGGAGGGGCCCCCTATTCTGGCAACCTGTCCGCGCCGCCCGACGAGTGCACGCTCAACATGTACGACTCGTACGGCGACGGCTGGAACGGCAACCTGTGGGTGGGTGCGGGCTATAACTTCACGCTCGAAATCGGATCCTCCGGCAGCGAGAAGTTCACCCTCGCCCCCCCCTCTCCGTCCTCTCCACCGCGGTTTCCGCCGTCGCCACCCTCTCCGCCGCCGCCGTCGCCGCCCTCGCCCCCACCGCTCGCACCATTACCGCCGCTCCGGCCCAACGAAGCGTCCGCGGCGACAGAAAACGAGCTTCGCTCCTTGATTGACAAAGCTGTGAGCGAGGGCCGGGAAGCTCACATCTTCGTCGCTCCTGGCGCCCACATCATGCTGGGATCCACGCCATCTCCGCCGCCCTCGCCGCCGCCGCCCTCGCCGCCGCCGCTGCCGCCGTCGCCGCCCCGGGCTCCGCCCCAGCCTCCGCCCCTGACGCCTCCGAGTCCACCACCCTCGCCGCCGCCGCCCTCACTGCCACCGCACAGCCCACCGCCGCCCAGCCCGCCGCCCCCCTTGCCTCCGCCGCCCTCTCCTCCGCCACCGTCGCCTCCGCAGCCCTCGCCTCCGCCCAGCCCACCGCCGCCCAGCCCGCCGGCGAGGGAGTTCTGCAAAGTCAACGGGGCGACCACCTGCACCGACAGCGGCAACAGGGACATCAGCACCCAGGCGGAATGCGAGCGTGCTATCTCCGTCACTGGTTCAGACAGCTGTTCGGCTGGCAGTAGCAATTGGTACGGTGCCTTGTCCGGCGCAAGTCTGCCGCGTGGCTGCTGGATGAACAACGAAGGCTGCGGGGGCACGTCATTCTTCAATGCGATCGCCACCGCCAATGGGGCTTGCGACAGCGGCGGTGGCCGCAGCTGTGTTTGCTTGTGTGGGACCGCCTCACCGTCGCCGCCGCCGCCGTCCGCCGCCGCCGCCGCCGCCGGCCGCCGCGTCTCCGAGGTGCTCGACTCATCGCCGCCACCGCCAACGTGTGTGTGTATGAATTCGATACCTTGGACAGCCCAGCCGCCTGGTTGCAGCCCCGTCTGGAACGAGTCGCCCGCGGACGGCTGCCAGCCAGTCGGTGGGTCGTGCACAACAGTGGGCAGTCGCAGTGGGCAAGCTTGGTGCTTTGTTCAGGCGCACTCAATTTTGTCTGAATGCTCCGACAAGTTCCGGGACGACGGTAACGACCCCGACCTAGGCACGGGATCCGGATGGTACATCTCGTACTTGGCTTGCGCGTCTCCGCCGCCGCCGCCGCAGCCACCGTTGCCGCCGCCCAGCCGCGCCGCCGAGGTGCTCGACTCATCGCTTGAGTGCAGCAGCAATATCACGCTTGTTGTTCGCAGCAGCGGAGTCGGCGCAACTCTCGACGGTCAGGGTCGGTCGCGGCTCTTTTCCCTCTCTGGTGGCTGCAGTCTCACCCTCCGAGGACTAACGCTCGTCAACGGATATGCAGATGGCGACGGTGGCGCCATTCAAGGGTCTTACGCAGGCTCTCTCAAGTTGGCCGACTCGAGCATCAAGGATTCCGCCTCCGGCGGAGACGGCGGCGGCATCGCCATGGCTTACAGCAGAGACGTCGAGCTCGTCCGGTCGAGCCTTTCTAGCTGCCGCGCTGAGAGCGACGGCGGCGGCATCTCAGTTCGGCAGGGCGGTGCGCTTGCACTTACAGATAGCTCGAGCATTGCAGACTGCTCCGCCGGCGCAAACGGCGGTGGCATCGCCATGGCCGACAGCGGAAATCTTTCGCTGACTGACAGCGCGGTGAGCAGCAGCACGGCGGCGTTCACCGGCGGAGGACTCAAGTTCGAGAGCAGCGCGAGCATTGCAACCCTCGTGCGGTCGAATATAAGTGGAAATGGTGGCGGCATCGCCATGGCCAACAGCGGAGATGTCGACCTCGAGAGGTCGAGCCTCTCTGGCTGCCGCGCTGAGAGCGACGGCGGCGGCATCTCGATCCGGCAGAGCGGTGCGCTTGCGCTCACTACTGGCTCGAGCATTGCAGACTGCTCCGCCGGCGCAAACGGCGGCGGCATCGCCATGGCCGACAGTGGAGCGCTTTCGCTGACTGACAGCGCGGTGAGCAACAGCACGGCCGGTGGAGGCGGCGGTGGCATCGCCATGGCCGACAGCGGAGATGTCGAGCTCGACCGATCGAGCCTCTCTGGCTGCCGCGCCGAGGGCGACGGAGGCGGCATCTCGATCCGGCAGAGCGGCGCGCCGCCACCGGTGCCGCCGTCGAGCTGCCCGGCGGGGAGCGTGTTGCACAGCGCGCCGGAGACGGTGACGGACAGCTTCTACGCGGTGGGCGGGTCGCATTGCTACCTTCTGAAGACGGGTGAGCACATTCTCCAGGACGCCAGCCCGTTCACAACCTGCGACGACGCGGGCTTCTCGGAAGACTACAAGGTTGGCGATTTCGCGGCGGTGGACCCCGTCACGCGCATCGTCTCTTTCACCGACGGTGACCTGTGTGGCTCGGGGACGCCGCGGAGCGCCGAGCTGACCGTCTGCATGGACACGTCGGGAGCGGTCGTGGAGAACCATTTCACCGCGTCCGAGCCGACGACGTGCGCCTACGTCTTCGTCCTCACCACGCCGACCCTGTCGCCGCCTCCCTCCCTTGCGCTTACTACTAGCTCAAGCATTACAGACTGCTCCGCCGGCGCAAACGGCGGCGGCATCGCCATGGCCGACAGCGGAGCGCTTTCGCTGACTGACAGCGCGGTGAGCAACAGCACGGCCGGTGGAGGCGGCGGCGGCATCGCCATGGCTTACAGCAGAGACGTCGAGCTCGTCCGGTCGAGCCTCTCTAGCTGCCGCGCTGAGAGCGACGGCGGCGGCATCTCAGTACGGCAGAGCGGCGCTCTTGCACTTACAAATAGCTCGAGCCTTGCAGACTGCTCCGCCGGCGCAAACGGCGGTGGCATCGCCATGGCCGACAGCGGAGCGCTTTCGCTGACTGACAGCGCGGTGAGCAACAGCACGGCCGGTGGAGGCGGTGGCGGCATCGCCATGGCTTACAGCAGAGACGTCGAGCTCGTCCGGTCGAGCCTTTCTAGCTGCTGCGCTGAGAGCGACGGCGGCGGCATCTCAGTACGGCAGAGCGGCGCTCTTGCACTTACAAATAGCTCGAGCCTTGCAGACTGCTCCGCCGGCGCAAACGGCGGTGGCATCGCCATGGCCGACAGCGGAAATCTTTCGCTGACTGACAGCGCGGTGAGCAGCAGCACGGCCGGTGGAGGCGGCGGTGGCATCGCCATGGCCGACAGCGGAGATGTCGAGCTCGAGAGGTCGAGCCTCTCTGGCTGCCAGGCCGCGGGCAACGGCGGCGGCATCTCAATCCGGCAGAGCGGCGCGCTTGCGCTTACTACTAGCTCGAGCATTACAGACTGCTCCGCCGGCGCACACGGCGGCGGCATCGCCATGGCTTACAGCAGAGATGTCGAGCTCGAGAGGTCGAGCCTCTCTGGCTGCCGCGCTGAGGGCGATGGCGGCGGCATCTCAGTTCGGCAGGGCGGTGCGCTTGCGCTTACCGATAGCTCGAGCATTGCAGACTGCTCCGCCGGCGCCAGTGGTGGCGGCATCGCCATGGCCGACAGCGGAGCATTTTCGCTTACCGACAGCGCGGTGAGCAACAGCACGGCTGCGAACAGCGGCGGAGGAGCGAGGTTCGAGAGCAGCAGGAGCATCGCAACCCTCGTGAGGTCAAACGTGAGTGAAAACCGGGCAACCTCAGCCTCGGCATTCTACTACAGCGGCTCCGCCTCCTCGCTGGGTTCAATTCGTGACTCCCAATTCGTGAGCAACGTCGCCGGGGACGGAATCACCATCACGGCCGTCTCCCAGCTAAGCTGGTTCCCCTGCCAGCTCGGGGAATGGATGCCCACTCGTGGCGCATTCGAGGGCGACGTGCTCGGCTGCAACGCCTGTCCCGAGCGGTACTACGGCAACGCCACAAACCTTGAGACCGCTGGATGTAGCGGTATTTGCCCTCTCGGCCATTTCTGTGAGTTGGGAAGCGCCCTTCCGGTGCCCTGTCGCAATGGGACCCGCATGCCGTTGTTCGGAGCGTCCAGCGCTGACGACTGCCTCGACTGCCCGCGTGGGCAATACCAGTCGGAAAACGGCCAGCCGAGCTGCACCACCTGCCCAGCAGGGACCCACTCGGCCAACACCGGGAGCTCGGAATGTGAGGTTTGCAAGTCGGGCGGCTACTGCGAGGTGGTGGACGGGAGCATGGTACGGCAGGCGTGCCCCGCCGGCAGCTACAATCCGGAAACCAAATCCACCTCAATAGGATCGTGCCTTCTCTGCCCTGTCGGGACCTCGAGCTCTGACATCGAAGCGACAACAAACGCTACCTGTGTGCCTTGCCGCGCTGGCAGCTTCGCATCTGAGGAGGGTGAGCAGGCCTGCCAGGTTTGCCCGCAGGGCTACTTCCAGAGGGAGACCGGCCAGGCCGCCTGCGTCCGCTGCGCGGCTGGCAAGTTTTGCCCCGAGGGTTCGTCGCGCGAGCTGGACGCGCAGTGCGAGGCGGGCACGTACGCCAGGCTGACCGACCAGAGCGGCGACCCCGAGTGCCTCGCCTGCCCCGCCGGCTCGTCGTGCGGCGGCGGGGCGGCGCCGCCCTCCGAGTGCTCTCCGGGCTCTTTCGCCGCCACGGCCGGCCTCTCCAAGTGCGCCAGCTGTGCGGGCGGGACGTACCAGGGCGAGTCGAACGCGACGAGCTGCCTTCCGTGCTTGGAGGGCAGCTACTGCGCCGAGGGTGCGTCGGCGCCGCTGCCGTGCGAGAAGGGCACATTTTCCAACGCCACGGACGTCGCCGACGCGAGCGAGTGCACCGCCGCCTCGCCGGGCCACTTCGCCACCACGGGCTCCACCGAGCAGTCGCCGTGCGCCAAGGGGTCGTACACGGACGAGGCCAAGCAGGGCGAGTGCACGCGCTGCGCCGCCGGCACGTACCAGGACGAGGAAGGCAAGACGGCGTGCGGGCCGTGCGAGCAAGGCAGCTACTGCGAGCCAGGCGCGTCGAGGCCGTTGCCGTGCGAGGCTGGCAGCTACTCGCGCGCCACCAACCTCACCGACGCGGGCGAGTGCACCGACGCCTCGCCGGGCCACTTCGCCACCACGGGCTCCATCGAGCAGACGGCGTGCCGCGAGGGCAGCTTCGCCAACGGCACCCGCAACGAGGCTTGCGAGCTGTGCGCCGAGGGCTACTTCCAGGACCAGCCCGCCGCCGCCGCCTGCGTCCGCTGCGCTGCGGGCAAGTTTTGTCCCGAAGGCTCGTCGCGCGAGCTGGACGCGCAGTGCGAGGCGGGCACGTACGCCAGGCTGACCGACCAGAGCGGCGACCCCGAGTGCCTCATTTGCCCCGCCGGCTCGTCGTGCGGCGGCGGGGCGGCGCCGCCCTCCGAGTGCTCGCCGGGCTCTTTCGCCGCCACGGCCGGCCTCTCCGAGTGCGCCAGCTGTGCGGGCGGGACGTACCAGGGCGAGTCGAACGCGACGGGCTGCCTTCCGTGCGTGGAGGGCAGCTACTGCGCCGAGGGCGCGTCGGCGCCGCTGCCGTGCGTTGCGGGCAGCTACTCGACCGCCACCAACCTCACCGCCGCGAGCGAGTGCACCGACGCCTCGCCGGGCCACTTCGCCACCACCGGCTCCACGCAGCAGACGGCGTGCGCCAAGGGGTCGTACACGGACGCGTACGGGCAGGGCGCGTGCACGCCCTGCGCCGGCGGCACGTACCAGGACGAGGAAGGCAAGACGGTTTGCGAGCCGTGCGAGGCGGGCAGCTACTGCGCTGTTGGCGCGGCGGCGGCGCTGCCGTGCGAGGCTGGCAGCTACTCGAGCGCCACCAACCTCACCGACGCGAGCGAGTGCACCGACGCTTCGCCGGGCCACTTTGCCCCCACGGGCTCGACGCAGCAGACGGCGTGCCGCGAGGGCAGCTTCGCCAACGGCACCCGCAACGAGGCGTGCGAGCTGTGCGCCGAGGGCTACTTCCAGGACCAGCCCGCCGCCGCCGCCTGCGTCCGCTGCGCTGCTGGCAAGTTTTGCCCTCAGGGGTCGTCGCGCGAGCTGGACGCGCAGTGCGAGGCGGGCACGTATGCGAGGCTGACCGACCAGAGCGGCGACCCCGAGTGCCTCATTTGCCCCGCCGGCTCGTCGTGCGGCGGCGGGGCGGCGCCGCCGTCCGAGTGCTCGCCGGGCTCTTTCGCCGCCACGGCCGGCCTCTCCGAGTGCGCCAGCTGTGCGGGCGGGACGTACCAGGGCGAGTCGAACGCGACGGGCTGCCTTCCGTGCGTGGAGGGCAGCTACTGCGCCGAGGGCGCGTCGGCGCCGCTGCCGTGCGTTGCGGGCAGCTACTCGACCGCCACCAACCTCACCGCCGCGAGCGAGTGCACCGCCGCCTCGCCGGGCAACTTCGCCACCACGGGCTCCAACGAGCAGACGGCGTGCGCCAAGGGGTCGTACACGGACGCGTACGGGCAGGGCGCGTGCACGCCCTGCGCCGGCGGCACGTACCAGGACGAGGAAGGCAAGACGGTTTGCGAGCCGTGCGAGGCGGGCAGCTACTGCGCTGTTGGCGCGGCGGCGGCGCTGCCGTGCGAGGCTGGCAGCTACTCGAGCGCCACCAACCTCACCGACGCGAGCGAGTGCACCGACGCTTCGCCGGGCCACTTCGCCCCCACGGGCTCGACGCAGCAGACGGCGTGCCGCGAGGGCAGCTTCGCCAACGGCACCCGCAACGAGGCGTGCGAGCTGTGCGCCGAGGGCTACTTCCAGGACCAGCCCGCCGCCGCCGCCTGCGTCCGCTGCGCTGCTGGCAAGTTTTGCCCTCAGGGGTCGTCGCGCGAGCTGGACGCGCAGTGCGAGGCGGGCACGTATGCGAGGCTGACCGACCAGAGCGGCGACCCCGAGTGCCTCATTTGCCCCGCCGGCTCGTCGTGCGGCGGCGGGGCGGCGCAGCCGTCCGAGTGCTCGCCGGGCTCTTTCGCCGCCACGGCCGGCCTCTCCGAGTGCGCCAGCTGTGCGGGCGGGACGTACCAGGGCGAGTCGAACGCGACGGGCTGCCTTCCGTGCGTGGAGGGCAGCTACTGCGCCGAGGGCGCGTCGGCGCCGCTGCCGTGCGTTGCGGGCAGCTACTCGACCGCCACCAACCTCACCGCCGCGGGCGAGTGCACCGACGCCTCGCCGGGCCACTTCGCCACCACCGGCTCCACGCAGCAGACGGCGTGCGCCAAGGGGTCGTACACGGACGCGTACGGGCAGGGCGCGTGCACGCCCTGCGCCGGCGGCACGTACCAGGACGAGGAAGGCAAGACGGTTTGCGAGCCGTGCGAGGCGGGAAGCTACTGCGCTGTTGGCGCAGCGGCGGCGCTGCCGTGCGAGGCTGGCAGCTACTCGAGCGCCACCAACCTCACCGACGCGAGCGAGTGCACCGACGCTTCGCCGGGCCACTTCGCCCCCACGGGCTCGACGCAGCAGACGGCGTGCCGCGAGGGCAGCTTCGCCAACGGCACCCGCAACGAGGCGTGCGAGCTGTGCGCCGAGGGCTACTTCCAGGACCAGCCCGCCGCCGCCGCCTGCGTCCGCTGCGCTGCTGGCAAGTTTTGCCCTCAGGGGTCGTCGCGCGAGCTGGACGCGCAGTGCGAGGCGGGCACGTATGCGAGGCTGACCGACCGGAGCGGCGACCCCGAGTGCCTCATTTGCCCCGCCGGCTCGTCGTGCGGCGGCGGGGCGGCGCCGCCCTCCGAGTGCTCGCCGGGCTCTTTCGCCGCCACGGCTGGCCTCTCCGAGTGCGCCAGCTGTGCGGGCGGGACGTACCAGGGCGAGTCGAACGCGACGAGCTGCCTTCCGTGCGTGGAGGGCAGCTACTGCGCCGAGGGCGCGTCGGCGCCGCTGCCGTGCGTTGCGGGCAGCTACTCGACCGCCACCAACCTCACCGCCGCGAGCGAGTGCACCGACGCCTCGCCGGGCCACTTCGCCACCACCGGCTCCACGCAGCAGACGGCGTGCGCCAAGGGGTCGTACACGGACGCGTACGGGCAGGGCGCGTGCACGCCCTGCGCCGGCGGCACGTACCAGGACGAGGAAGGCAAGACGGTTTGCGAGCCGTGCGAGGCGGGCAGCTACTGCGCTGTTGGCGCGGCGGCGGCGCTGCCGTGCGAGGCTGGCAGCTACTCGAGCGCCACCAACCTCACCGACGCGAGCGAGTGCACCGACGCCTCGCCGGGCCACTTCGCCACCACCGGCTCCACCGAGCAGACGGCGTGCCGCGAGGGCAGCTTCGCCAACGGCATTCGCAACGACGCGTGCGAGCTGTGCCCCAAGGGCTACTTCCAGAACGAGACCGGCAAGGCCGCCTGCGTCCGCTGCGCTGCTGGCAAGTTTTGCCCGGTGGGCTCGTCGCGCGAGCTGGACGCGCAGTGCAAGGCGGGCACGTACGCGAGGCTGTCCGACCAGAGCGGCGACCCCGAGTGCCTCGCCTGCCCCGCCGGCTCGTCGTGCGGCGGCGGGGCGGCGCCGCCCTCCGAGTGCTCGCCGGGCTCTTTCGCCGCCACGGCCGGCCTCTCCGAGTGCGCCAGCTGTGCGGGCGGGACGTACCAGGGCGAGTCGAACGCGACGAGCTGCCTTCCGTGCGTGGAGGGCAGCTACTGCGCCGAGGGCGCGTCGGCGCCGCTGCCGTGCGTTGCGGGCAGCTACTCGACCGCCACCAACCTCACCGCCGCGGGCGAGTGCACCGACGCCTCGCCGGGCCACTTCGCCACCACCGGCTCCACGCAGCAGACGGCGTGCGCCAAGGGGTCGTACACGGACGCGTACGGGCAGGGCGCGTGCACGCCCTGCGCCGGCGGCACGTACCAGGACGAGGAAGGCAAGACGGCTTGCGAGCCGTGCGAGGCGGGAAGCTACTGCGCTGTTGGCGCGGCGGCGGCGCTGCCGTGCGAGGCTGGCAGCTACTCGAGCGCCACCAACCTCACCGACGCGAGCGAGTGCACCGACGCCACGCCGGGCCACTTCGCCACCACCGGCTCCACCGAGCAGACGGCGTGCCGCGAGGGCAGCTTCGCCAACGGCACCCGCAACGACGCGTGCGAGCTGTGCGCCGAGGGCTACTTCCAGGACCAGCCCGCCGCCGCCGCCTGCGTCCGCTGCGCTGCTGGCAAGTTTTGCCCTCAGGGGTCGTCGCGCGAGCTGGACGCGCAGTGCGAGGCGGGCACGTATGCGAGGCTGTCCGACCAGAGCGGCGACCCCGAGTGCCTCGCCTGCCCCGCCGGCTCGTCGTGCGGCGGCGGGGCGGCGCCGCCGTCCGAGTGCTCGCCGGGCTCCGTCGCCGCCACGGCCGGCCTCTCCGAGTGCGCCAGCTGTGCGGGCGGGACGTACCAGGGCGAGTCGAACGCGACGAGCTGCCTTCCGTGCGTGGAGGGCAGCTACTGCGCCGAGGGCGCGTCGGCGCCGCTGCCGTGCGTTGCGGGCAGCTACTCGACCGCCACCAACCTCACCGCCGCGAGCGAGTGCACTGACGCCTCGCCGGGCCACTTCGCCACAACCGGCTCCACGCAGCAGACGGCGTGCGCCAAGGGGTCGTACACGGACGCGTACGGGCAGGGCGCGTGCACGCCCTGCGCCGGCGGCACGTACCAGGACGAGGAAGGCAAGACGGTTTGCGAGCCGTGCGAGGCGGGCAGCTACTGCGCTGTTGGCGCGGCGGCGGCGCTGCCGTGCGAGGCTGGCAGCTACTCGAGCGCCACCAACCTCACCGACGCGAGCGAGTGCACCGACGCTTCGCCGGGCCACTTCGCCCCCACGGGCTCCATTGAGCAGACGCCGTGCTCGCCGGGCACTTTCAGCGCTCTCGCCGGGCAGAGCATCTGCGAGAAGTGCCCTGCCGGCGAATATCAAGACTCGAGCGGCGCCACCAACTGCACCACGTGCGTGCCGGGCCATTACTGCGCCGAGGGCGCCTCTGCACCGCTACCCTGCCCCGCCGGGACGCGCATCAACGCCTCGCTCGACCTCATGACGAGCAAGGACGACTGCATCACCTGTCCGGCCGGCACGTTTTGCCCGACCGGCTCTGATGACGCCACCGACTGCGCGCCGGGCACCTTCAGCGCTCTCGCCGGGCAGAGCAGGTGCGAGAGGTGCCCTCCGGGCAACTATCAGGACGCGAGCGGCAAGACGGAGTGCAAGACGTGCGTGAAGGGCCGATACTGCGCCGAGGGCGCGTCGGCGCCGCTGCCGTGCGTTGCGGGCAGCTACTCGACCGCCACCAACCTCACCGCCGCGAGCGAGTGCACCGACGCCTCGCCGGGCCACTTCGCCACCACCGGCTCCACGCAGCAGACGGCGTGCGCCAAGGGGTCGTACACGGACGCGTACAAGCAGGGCGAGTGCACGCCCTGCGCCGGCGGCACGTACCAGGACGAGAGCGGCAAGACGGCGTGCAAGCCGTGCGAGGCGGGCAGCTACTGCGCTGTTGGCGCGGCGGCGGCGCTGCCGTGCGAGGCTGGCAGCTACTCGGGCGCGACCGACAACGACGAGCAGGAAGACTGCACGCCGGCCGACCCTGGCTCCTTCGCGGTGACGGGCTCCATTGAGCAGACGCCGTGCTCGCCGGGCACTTTCAGCGCTCTCGCCGGGCAGAGCATCTGCGAGAAGTGCCCTGCCGGCGAATATCAAGACTCGAGCGGCGCCACCAACTGCACCACGTGCGTGCCGGGCCATTACTGCGCCGAGGGCGCCTCTGCGCCGCTGCCTTGCCCCGCCGGGACGCGCATCAACGCCTCGCTCGACCTCATGACGAGCAAGGACGACTGCATCACCTGTCCGGCCGGCACGTTTTGCCCGACCGGCTCTGATGACGCCACCGACTGCGCGCCGGGAACCTTCAACGCCCTCGCCGGGCACGGTCCCCGGGTGGAACGGAAACGGAGCGAACGTGTACTTGGACATGTGGACATTTGTGCAGTGTGCACCGTGTGGCGCAGGCTGCAAGACCACGAACTCGGCGACGGCAAGTTTCACCTAGCGCCCCAAACAGCCACGCGGCGGCCTCGGCATGGCCGGGCAGCGGGCTCGGAAGCTCGACCTTGAGGATCACGAGCCTTGGGTCACTCCCGCGAAAACACACTCTCTCTCTCTCCCGCGAAACCCGCCCCGTGAACATACGACAAATCCTCGAGAGGATCGACAAAATCGAATGTTCCAAGCAGCCGACTCTCTCTCTCTCTCCCTCCCAAGGGGCACACACACACACACACACACACACACACACACACACACACACACACACACACACACACACACACACACACACACACACACACACACACACACACACACACACACAGGGGGGGGGGGTCCCCAAAACACGGCGGATGCCTATGTATGTGGCGTCGACCATCCCGAAAATCAGATAAGGTCTTCATTACCTCTCTTATCGCAGGCAGGTCTCGAATGATCCCCGCCAAGGGCAGCCTCGCTGCGCTGCGCGCTGCCACCGCTGCTCATGAGGAGAGGCGGGCTGCCGACGCGCGAGCCATCGAGGCTGCCGCGTTGGCGCGGGCAGAGGCTGAGCGGGCCGCTGCCTCGGAGCTCAACGCGGCTGCCCGAGCGCTGTCCGATTTTGAGCAAGAGCTCACGCAAGCTCGACAGAACTTCACGTTGCGAGTAGCGGTGTGCGACACTCTTCAGCTGGACTTGTGCCGCGGGGTTCTCACACGCGTGCCTTGGCTTGCCGCTGTGATGTCAGCCGAGCAGGTGTTGGCGGATCCCGAGCGTGTGAGGGCGTGGCTTCTCTGGGCCGAGGGTACGGCGGCGGGTTCGACGCACCCGACACCGCCCACCCTGCCGACCACGCCAGTCGGGGCGGAGGGCGATCTCGAGCTGGGCTCCGGCGCCTCCGGCTGGGAGCGATGGCGGCGTGTCGTTGCGACCGAGGCAGCTGAGCAGGAGGAGGAGGGGTCGCGCTCTGCGGCGGCGGAGCCTGCCGCCCCACCCCGCAAGCGCACCCGCAGCGAGGCCGTCACCGAGCCGTTCGGTTCCGGCCCGGAGAGCGGCACGCCGGACGCGCCCAGCTCCTTCGCTCTTCCGCCGGTCGAAACAGTGACTGTTGACGGGATCGTCTTCAGAAGCTTCCAGACAGAGGACGCGATGCGGCGCCACCTCTCCGCTGGGTTTCCCCCAGTACCCCGTGGGCGACCCTCTCTGGTGGGGAGGTGCTGGGGCGACGTCGTCTCGGGCGGCGCGCTGGGCTGCGAGGCGCTGCCTCCGCAGGCGTCGAGCTTTCGCGAGAGGTTCTGCGGGGGCTGCCGGGAGCAGGGCGTGTTTGTGCCCGCGTCGAGGGTGTGCGTGCCCATCGGCGCGGGCTCCGAGATCGCCAACCGCCACGGGCGCGGCTTCTGGAACGAGCCGTCCCCGTCCTCGCGCTTGCCTGCGCACCGCGTCGTGAACCAGACGTCCGACTGCCCGGGCCCGACGCTCGTGATCCTCAAGGACGAGCTTCCGGGCCCGCTGCCCGGCCTGGCCGAGGCCGCCGCGCTGTCCACCTCCGGCGGCTGGGTCGCCTTCACGGTCGGCCGCACGCTCAGGAGCGAGATGGCTCTGCCGTCGGCCGTTGCGTCTCTTCTCTCGCCGCCCCCGCCGCCCGAGCGCGACACCCCTCGGGCTCGCACCGCAGCGGCCGAGGGGCTTGTCGAGGGGTTTGCGGCGGAGGGTGCGGCAGAGGCAGCGGTGGAGGAGGAGGCCTCTGCTTCGTCGGCGGCAGGAGTGCTGCTCAGCTTGGCCGCCGCGCCACTGCATCCGGCCTCGAGCCCGCCCTCGCCGCCTGCACTCCAGTCGACACCAGCCACGCCACCGCTGCCGCTGCTCTCTCCGCGCTCGCGCTCGTCTTCGGCGCGTCTGGGCGCGCTCGCACCGGTCCAGTTCTGTCTGGCCGAGCTCAGCATCAACTCTGCCACTCGCTGACGGGCTGCGTTCCTGCGGCGGTGCTGCTCCCTCCCTCCCTCGCCGTTTGCCACGCCGGCGCCGCTGCTCTTTGCTCCGCGCTCGTGGCAGCTGCCGTCGCGCGTGGGCTTGCTGGCACCCATCCAGGTGTCGCTCGCCCTGGTGGCGGTGTGCGCCGCCTTCGCGGCCGAGCTCTACACCAACCCAACCTTTGCCTTTGCTGCTGCGGGCTTCGCAGCGATTGCCGCTGCCAACTTGGCTCAGGCCTCGCCTCGCATTGTCGCGCGTGCGCTCACGATGATGCTCGTCTGTGCCCCGACTCTGCGTCTCATCCACGTTCTGATAAGCTCGCCGGCACAGCTGACCCGCCATCTGGACAACTCATCGAAGGGAGGCTGGGCATGCTCTCACTCTGTGCAGGGTGCGGCGCCTCCTACGGCGCGCTGCCGCCCGCCGCCCTCCCTTCCTCCCGCAAGCTGCTCGCAGCGGCATACTTCGCTTGCGGGCCCGCGCTTACTCGCGTTGCCTTGGTCCTCTGTGCTCGGACGGGCGACGAGCGCACGCTCTCCTTTGAAATGCTGTACGGCGGCCTCCCCTTCGCCGCGACCTTTCTGGCTGCCCAGGCTGTCTCATACAGCAGCCTCGGGCAAGACGCTCCGCCCTCGCCGCCTGCACTCCAGTCGACACCAGCCACGCCACCGCTGCCGCTGCTCTCTCCGCGCTTGCGCTCGTCTTCGGCGCGTCTGGGCGCGTTCGCACCGGTCCAGTTCTCGCTCGCCCTCTTGGTGGTGTTCGCTGCTCGTCTGGCCGCAGCATCAACCCCGCCGGCTTGCTCGCTGCCGCGGGCTTTGCTGTGCTGGCCCTCGCTAATCTAGCACAGGCCTCGCCTCGCTTTGTGGCGCGCGCGATGGCGCTGCTGCTCCTTTGCATCTCGACTCTTCGCATCGTTCAAAGCTTGGCCTTCTCGCCGGCCAAGCTGACGGGCGCAATCGACAAGGCGGCAGGCGCTTGGGGTTGCGTAATCACGTCCTGTGCAGCGTGCGGCGCCGCTTTCGGACTCTGCCACCCGCTGCCCTCCCTCAAGCTGCTCGCAGCGGTTTACTGCGCTTGCGCGTTGGCATGTGACGGCGTCATTCTCCATGTCCGGACGGGCCACGAGCGCGCGCTCAAATTCTCCTTGCTGTACACGCTCCTCCCCTTCCTCGCGTCCTTCCTCGCAGCCCAGGCAGTCTCGGCGTGCACGACGCCCTCCCCGCAACCCCACCGGCAAACACAACCGCACCGGCGCGATTTCGCACGGCGTTCTCGGGGTGCCTGCGACCGCTGCTGCTCCATGCGGCACGGATGATTGATAGGCCGACCGCCGCCGTGCAGCTCGAGATGGGCTGCCGGCTGAGCACGCCGCCGCTCAAGCTGGCGGTGGGCGTCTGCTGCGGGCTGATGCACAGCCTGCGGCCTTACTCGCGGGCGCTCGCGGGCCTCGTCGCCGCGCTCCTCTTCTCCATTCACGCGATCGCGTACTTGCGCACGGGCGACGCGAGCTGCCTCGGGGGCATCCCTCGCTCCCTCGCCTTCCTCTTTGCCCTGCCGACGCTCTGCTCGCTCGTTGCACGCTCCTTCCAATATGAGGCGGTGGCGGGGGAGGCGGTGGGGGAGGCGGAGGCGGCGGGGAGGGTCGCGGGGAGGGAGGCGGAGGAGGCGGAGGCGGGCCGGGCCGGCGTGGGCGGCGCGGCGTCGGTGGGCGCGTCAGGCCGCCCTTCAGGGTAGGGCGTCACGGGGAGCCAGTCGACTCGCATCGGTTGGTAAGGTAAGGTAAGGTAAGGTAAATTTCTCCACACATCGGTTGCCCCTCCCCTGTGCCTTGAGGCAACGGCGGAGCTACTCTCGTGTCCACGCCACATGCACAACACATGCACATGCACATGCACAACCGTAAATGTGTTAGTGAGTATTCTTGATACGAAACCACGACGACACACACCAGTCGACTCGTATCGGTTGCCTCCATGAACGGCGGAGCTATTCTCGCGCCCACACCACACCTGGCTCCAACGTGGAGACACGCCCAATAGCTGCGGACACTACTAGGTCACGCATGGCACCAGAAGTTTTATCTCTGGGCCCCGAAAGGCAGCTCTAGCAGCGTCGTTACGCATGCGCCCTCCCTCCCTCCTGGGTGGGTGGGCGCATGCGCCTCACATCTCGCCAGAGCATAACACACACACACACACACACACACACACAACGTAAAGAGACGATCGGAGGGGTCCCGTACCATGCGGAATCGACCCTATCAAGTGCTCAAGTGCTCAAGTGCTCAACCGTAAATGGGCAAATAAATAAAAACGCCCACGTCTCTACCCGGTACTGCGAGCCGTCCTATTACCAGGTTGCAACCCTTGTTCCGCACTGTGCTGTGAATCGAGCGGCAACCAACAGCTCTCAGGACCCCCCGGTGCTGGGGTGCTGCCAGCAACCAACCAACTCACCGGCGAGCGGAGCGAGCCGAAGAGCGAGCGGGCCAAATTGGCGCTGTGAACGCACCTACGTGGCGGGCCGCGCAGGCCCGGCAGCAGGGCACCCCCGCGCGGATGCCGACGAGGATCACGGTGCGCTACCCGAACGAAGGTGGACTGCTGACAGGGTTTGCGGTGTCAGTTAGTGTATGTAAAAATTCTTAGAAATTTGCCCCCCCCCCCCCCCCCCCTTCCCGAGAACGGGGCTAGATAGAAGCACACACCCCGAGTGCGGGACATGGGGCAGCAACCGACAACGTGGACGGGGATGGGGTGCTGCTCAACCGGCGGCAACCAGCAGCTTTCATTCACAGCCGAGTGCGGAACAATGTGTGTCTCGCATCACTTGCTTAATTGTCGACGGGGTTGCCCTGTGCCTCGTCTGGCCAAGTCTACGTACGTCCGAAATTTAATGTTAGGAGTGAGGACCTTAGACCAACAAGTTTCTTCCATTGTACGATAAAACGGCCACGTGTCTGCGAGAGGTGGGGGCGGATCTCGGCACTTGCACTTGATTGTCGCCCTTGCGGGTTGTACTCAGGCGATGATCCCCGCGCCGGGCAGCCTCGTCGCGCTGCGGCAAGCCGCCGCTGCTCACCAGCGTGCCGAAGAGGAGAGGCTGGCCGCCGCCTTGGAGCGGGAGGCGGCGAAGGTCAGGGAGCTGGAGGAGCTGGTCGCGGCTGCCAAAGAGCTGACCGATGTGGAGCAAGACCTCGAGCAGCTCCGCAGCGAGTACGCCACGCGCCGCGAACTTCACAGCGCTGCGCTGCTCGCAGTATGCCGCAAAGCGATCACACGCGTGCCTCGGCTCGCTGCTGTGATGACAGCCGAGCAGGCGTTGGAAGATCCCGAGCGTGTGCTGGCGTGGCTTCTCAGCGCGGCGGGCACGGCGCATCCGACAGCGCCTGCTGCGGGCTTGATTCCCCCGACACCGCCCACCCTGCCGGCCACACCGGTCGCGACGATAGGGGGCGCCCTCGAGCTGGGCTCTGGCGCGTCCCTCTGGCAGCGAGGGCAGCGCTCCGTCTCGACCGAGGCAGCTGAGCAGGCGGAGGAGGGTTCGTGCTCTGGGGCGGCGGCGCCTTCGCGGTGCCCAGGGCTGATGGAAGAGGCGAGGCCCCCGGCCCGCGAGGCCGCCAGCTCCGACGCTCCACCCCCGAAGCGCACGCGCTACACGGAGACGTGCTGGGGCGACGTCGTCTCGGGCGGCGCGCTGGGCTGCGAGGCGCTGCCTCCGCAGGCGTCGAGGGCCGCCTTTCGCGAGAGGTTCTGCGGGGGCTGCCGGCAGCGGGGCGTGTTTGTGCCGGCGTCGAGGGTGCGCATGCCCATCGGCGCGGGCTCCGACGAGATCGCCAACCGCCACGGGCGCGGCTTCTGGAACGAGCCGTCCCGAGCCTCGCGCTTGCCTGCGCACCGCGTCGTGAACCAGACATCCGACTGCTCGGGCCCGACGCTCGTGATCCTCAAGGACGAGCTTCCGGGCCCGCTGCCCGGCCTGGCCGAGGCCGCCGCGCTGTCCACCTCCGGCGGCTGGGTCGCCTTCACGGTCGGCCGCACGCTCAGGAGCGAGGTGGCTCTGCCGTCGGCCGTTGCGATTCCTCTCTCGCCGCCCCCGCCGCCCGAGCGCGACACCCCTGAGGCTCGCACCGCATCAGCCGAGGGGCGTGTCGAGGGGTTTGCGGCGGCGGCGCAGGCGGGCGAGGCGTCTGGGTCTGCGTTGGAGGCCGGCCTCGAGCCCTTCCTCGCGGAGATCTCGCTCGCTCTCGGCCCGCTCGCCGAGGCCGGCGCGCCGCCGCCGCCGGGGCCCGGCGAGATGACGTGGCACTTCGGGGGCGGCAGCCCCATCGACGACCTGCTTCTCTCTGGCTCCGCGACACCGCCGCTGCTGCAGACGCGCCCGACTCCGGCGGCAAGCGTGCCGCCGCCCTCCATGCCGCCTTCGCCGCCGGCCATGCACATCCCACTGCGTCTGGACGTGATGCAGAGCAAGCCGGTCCAGCTCTCGCTCGCCCTTTTGGTGATGGTCGCCGCTCGTCTGGCCGAGCTCGACACCACCAACCCCGCCGCCTTCATCGTTGCTGCGGGCTTTGGATTGCTGGCCCTCGCCAACCTGGCACAGGCCTCGCCTCGCTTTCTCGCGCGCGCGTTGACCCTGCTTCTCGTCTGCGTCTCGACTATGCGTCTTGTCAGCGTCCTTGTCCGCTCGCCGGAAGCGTTGGCCCGTGAGCTCGACACGTTCGCAGGCGTTGGGCGGTGCATCACCACGATGGCTGCAGCGACCGGCGCCGCTCTCGGAGCTCTGCCACCCTCTGCCCTCCCTCCGACCCGCAAGCTGCTCGCAGTGGGATACTGTGCTTGCGTGCAGATGTGCGTCGCTTTGATCCTCCGTGTCCGCACGGGCGACGAGCGCGCGCCTCCCTTTCAGCTGCTGCACATCGTCCTCCCCTTCCTCGCGTCGTTCCTCGCGGCCCATGCAGCTTCGCGCAGCAGCGTCGGGCAGAACGTGGCGCGGCGGGGCTACTCCATGCGGCTCGCCTGCGATGAATGCTAGACAGACTGCGTTACACGCCGCACGCGGCGGAAGCATGGCGGCGCCCGTGCGTTGCGTTGCTAGTCCGCGTCTGGACGGCCGCCGAGCCGTGAGCATGTTGGACTTGCGCGGCGGCCCTCGGACGTCGCGTAGCACTTCTCTGGTGTGCTTTCGTGCCGGTGAAGCAAGTTTGTCCGTTCCCTGCGTGCTGCGACTGTCGGTTTCTGACATAATTCTGAGACGTTCATGTATCGAGTGTGTGTGTGTGAGCGAAAATAGAGGACTACACAGCCGTACACTCACCCCGACACGCGAGCGTTCGCGAGCGGCATATAGGATGCTCCGCAAACCTTCCTAACTGGATGCAGCCCGGGGGGAGGGTCAGCCGTGGGCAAAGAAACCAGCACCTCATCAGTCTCTTCCTTGAGCGTCACAGCTCGGTGATCGCGCCGGCCGGACACCACTGTAACGTCCGTTCCGGGCATTTGAACGCGACCTTCGGGGGCAAAGACATGGGCTCTAGGGCTCAGACTGGACTCCTCTTGGTCCCTTCTGATGCCCTAGGCCACACCTGGGCCTTACCTGGGGTTCTAGGGGCCGGCCAGGGTTTGCCTCCCTAAAGGGGCCCGGAGGACCTTAAAATCCCTGTGTGGTGGCGGCGTGCCGTCCTCCCATCCCTCCTCTCGAGGTTCTCGAGGTGGATATCCTTTGGCCGCGTTGGGTAGCGAGGATTGGTCCTGTAACCCGAGCCACGGAGGCGTGTTTTCTGACGGCCGACCGTCAGTGCACGGAGTTGCCCCTTCTCCGACTGCCCCGGCTAGTTCACGGGTTTCGCGGGAGTGACCCCATGCGTCAAACCCGAGACCTAGCGCGGGGGTGGGTTGGAGGGGGCTCGCCCCGTTCCTCCCCATCGGGCCGCGTGAGCGGCCTCGCCTCGCAGATTCGTTTTTCGCGCCTGGGTCAGGCGCGCGGGGCATCCCCCGGGTCGCTCGACCAGCGATCCGAAGAGTGGCCGCTATGCGAGGGAAAGAGCGGGGCCCACGGGGTACGCCTCGTCCGGCCCCTTCCGAGGGGGGAAGGGAATTGTGGGGTCCCCACGGGCGCCTCTCTTCGGCCCTCCCGAGGGGGGGAGGGGAGCAAGGGGGTGGGGGGGTCGGGGCGGGGGGGAGGGGTCTCGGATTTCATGGGTCTAATACTTGCCTTTCGGGGAGGGGCCTCGGTTACGGCGAGCGCAGTGGCGCGCGCCCTACGTCTTCCCCTCCTCCCCAGAGGCAGCGAGTAGGCAGCGAGAGGGGGTATCGAGCGTGTGCCTGTGATAGTACTAGCACGCGCCAGTTCGCACCTGTGTCGAGCCTGTCTGCTAAAAGAAAGAAAGAAAACGGACAACCCAAGGGAGGGATGGGAGGACGGCACGCCGCCACCACACAGGGATTTTAAGGAGAGGGGTGTTGTGCGCTAGCCGTCGCCCACCCTTGGGCGTCCGCCTCTTCCTATCTCTCTTCGCAGTCTCTCGCCGATTCTCGCTGCAACCTTCATGCCACCTCGCGGTCGTCCCACTCTCGTCGTTCTCTCCCTTGTCGCTTCTTCCTCTGTCGCGTCGCTCTCCTCTGCCTCGTTCTGCGACGCCGCCGCCGCCTGCCGGTCCCTTGTTCTCGCTGCTTCTTGCGCCTTTCGGCGCAGCTCCGTCCTCCTCGGTCCTCGCTGCATATCCTGGCCCCTCGAGTCTATCGAGCTCTCCTCGAGCAAGGACGAGTCTTCTGACGCCCACTGCGATCATTTGCCACCCAGTCATGTCGTTGCTCAGGTCCACTCTCTCTTCGAACACTTACTTGTGCCTTCACTGATGATGCCGGCGCTGGGGTCCCCTTCGGGTGCATCGTGACGGCTGACAACGGGATTTCCACTGGTTCGTCCTCCTCGGAGTCGTCTTCCCCCTCTTCCTTCACCCGTGCCCAGTTTTCTGCGAGAGAGAGCTCGAAAGATTCTTTCGAGGCCTCCTAGAATTCTTGTTCCCCTCGCCGTCGACGGCCTGCCGCCGCTCTCTGCCCTCTCGGCGGCCGCCACAGCGAGCACCCACCCGCAGCCCGGGGGCCACGCGGCCGGGCACCAGGCCTTCGATGGCGGCCTCGCCCGCCATCGACCTGGGAGAGCCGCTCGCGGCTCTGTTCAAGCGCGCGCGCGTCGCCGACAACCTCTACCGCAGGTATGAGGGGCGGCTCGCGGAGCTGGGCATTGGCGATGCTGGCGACCTCCTCGACGAGGTCGCTGAGAAGGGCATCGGCTCGCTCGACATCCACGACCGCCAGGCGGAGAAGCTCCGCCAAGCTCTTCTCGGCCGGCGGGGCTGGGGGGACGCAGCTGCGGTCTTGGCATCCCTCAGCGGCTTGTCGCTGGGCGACACCCCGGCTGGGGTGGCGGCTGGCGATCAGGCGGCTGGTGGCGGGGCAGCGGCTGGCGGCGTGGGCCGCGGCGGCGCGCGCCCCGAAGAGGCGGACGGCGGTGCCTGCGACGCGCAGGCCGCTGAAGGTGGGTCCGGAGGTGGGACCGAGGGATCCAGTTTGGACCCCTTGGAGCCCGCGCTGCCGGAGGGCGGCGATGGGACGATCGCCGCCGAGGGGGGGGAGGAGGAGGTCGAGGGCGGGCGGAAGGCGCCGCGGCGCCGCCGAGGGCGGCGCGGCCGTGGCGCCAGGGGTCGCGGGGGGGGGCTCGAGAAGGTGCCCGACACCGCGGCGGGTTTGGCTGCTGAGCGGCCAAACCCAGTGGAGGAGGTTTCCACCGGCGGCGCGGCGCCGGCGGAGGGGGAGGAGGGCGGCCCGCCCTCGCTCGCTGCTGATGGACCTGGACGTGCCCCATGTTGGGGGCCCGCCGGCATTACCCCGCCCGAGACGCCGGTCTCGGACGCTGCCGGCGCGCCCCACCCTTTCAATCTTTTAGATGAGGCCACGGGTTCTAAGGCGGGCGAGGCGGCTGCTGAGGCGTTGGCGGAGGCGGCGGTCGACGCGGTCTACGGGGCGCTCGTGGCGGCGACGCTCGAGGAGTGGGCTGGGGCGAGCACGGACAACCCCGTCTCCGCGGAGGACGCTCGAGGCCCAGGCCTCGAGTGTCGGGATTGCTTTGAGAACTTTTACAAGGAGTACGACGTGGAGCCGTGGCTGTGGCGCCGGGCGTTGCGTGAGGGCTGGTCGGAGCTGGGGGGCTGGTCGAGAGAGGAGATGGAGGCGGCGGAGAAGGAGATCTGGCGCGGCGAGAGTTCTGAGATCTCTCAGCTAGGCGAGATGGTCTGCGATGGTTGCCTGGAGGGCTATTTGGGGGGAGGCTTTGGCGACTACTCGGAGCTGCGCAGCGGCTACGTTGCGCCGTATCCGGGTAACCCCTGGATAGGTCGCTCGCGCGACCTCTCCTGGATGCGCAAGGGGCCCATTGGGGTCACGCGGAGGGAGGCGCTGTTAGCGGCGGAGGAGGCGAAGGCGGCCGCACGGGCGGCGGAGAAGGCGCGGGCGGCGGAGGGGGGGAAGGGCGGCGGCAGCGGGCGGCAGTCCCGCGAGGCACGCCGGCGGAAGGGTTCGTCTTCGCGGGGCGGGGTGCGCACTGCGCGCCGCGAGGATGAGGAGCCTGAGCCAGGGGAGGGTTGGGAAGGGGGGGCGAGGCCGGAGGAGTATGACGGCCTCTTCGACGGCCCATAAGGGGCCGTTGTCTGCTGTGCCTTTTGTGGTGCTAGTTCGTGCCAGTCTGCTGTGAGAGGGGCTTGCATTGTAGAATTCTTTCGAGGCTGCCCTGCCGATCAGCCGTACGTGCGGCGTTGCTAGCCTCGCGCCGAAACGGAAATGACCAACCTCGGCGCGCTCGACCTCGACGCGATGGATTATGATCCGGAGGAGGACGACACGGAACCGTCGCCACACGGCAGATTCCTTCGCGGCGCGGCGCGTCCGGGCTCAGCTTCTGTGCGCGCATGGCACGGCGTCATCCCTGCACAGCACCTCACGCCGCTCAAGGCAGACGCCATGCTGCTCAAGGAGAAGGCGCCGGGCGAGACATTCTGGATCGACGCCGAAAGCACGCCGCGCTGCTCGCTCGAACAGCTCGCGTTGGCGGTCCTGCGCTTCCACGCAGGCAGCGAGGTGAGCGCCGACTCTCCGCCGGTGCGCGGCGCCGAGTTCTGGATCCAAGTGCGCGGCTCTGACGGCTCGCCGACCATCGCGCTGCACTGGGACTCCGACGAGCTCCACAAGCGCGCGAGCGGCGAGCACCTTCCTCCATGGCTGGCGACCGTCACCTACCTCGGCTCGAGCGGCGCGCCGACAGTCGTCCTCCCCGCCGTTGCGGACGCGCACGGCCGTGCGGTGCGGGCTGGCGCGTGCTGCGCACACCTCTCGCACCCGGTGCCCGGCAAGCACCTCGCGTTCGACGGCCGCCTCTTGCACGGCGCGCTGCACGACATGCAGGCGCCGAGCGCCGCGCCGCACGTGCGCATCTCGCTGCTCGTCAACGTCTGGCTGGGCCACCGGCCGGCAGAGGCCGCGACGCTGCCGCCGCAGCTCGCCGCGTCGCTCTCCAACGCGGCCGTCGCCCACTTTGGGCACGCGGTGCCCGTGGCTCCAGAGGCGTCCGCTGAGCCCGACGCGGCTGGTTGGCGGAGTCTCAAGGTCGGCTTCGTGCCGCGGCGCTCTCTCTGTGACGCCACGCCCGGCTGGCGAACTCTCGGCCTCGGCTTCCCGTTCTTCCACCCGCCACTCCGAGTGCGTGGCTTGCCGCCGCCGCCCACGCGGCCAGCTCGAGCTGACCCCTCCGACGCGCCCCACGTGCCATCGCTGCTCCTCGTGCGCACCCTCGGGCTCGAGTTGCCTTTTGGCGACGCGCCCGCGCAGCCGCCGCAGCAGCAGCCACCGCCACACCCCCCGCCGGCCTCACCGCCCCCGCCGGCGCCGGCGGCGGTTTCGTTCATCGAGGCAGCTGCGGAGCTGCGCTCCGCCAACGACTGGATCGCCACTCGGGCGCTTCGTGCGCTGCTGCCCCGTCTGGGCACGCACCTGCGCGACGGCGACGGCGGCAGCGGTGCGGGCAAGACGCTTAGCGGGCAGGAGGAGGCGGAAGCGGAGGAGGGTCGAGACGAGGGCGCGAGTGGCGACCACCGCTGGATAGGCGGCGAGCCCGCGCTCCTCTACCTCGCACGCGAAGGCCACGAGCTGCAACGGCTGCAAATTGTTTTGGCCCACCACCGCGTGTGTTGAGATGTGTGCGTCACCTTCCCGTAGGCCTCGAGGCCTGTGCCCTCGCCGCCCTCGCCGCCCTCGCACCGCCTCGCGCCTCGCATCCCGGCGGCGCCACCCCCACCGGCGGCGCCACCGCCTCCGACGCCGCCGTCTCCACGGACAATCTCCAAGGCAGTGCAACTTCTCCGCCATCGGACCAGTGTCTGTCTGGACACCAAGCAGCTGCATGGCACGACCCTTGCGCCGCCGGCATCGACGCCGAGGACGCCGACGGCTTCACCGCGCTGCACTTTGCGGCAAACATGGGCTTGCGCCGCCTCTCTGCAGCGCTGCTCGCTTGCGGCGCGGCAGTCGACCGCAGTACACGCGACGTGAGCTCCCTTCACACAAAAACACAACCACGGACCCAAGACGCACAAGCACAGACAGTCGAGAAGGGTGAGACAGCGGCGACAGTCAGAAGTCAGCGCTGGGTCCCAGGGCGAATGCGATGACGGCCTCTAGTGCGAGCTCTAGCTAGTGAGCTCATCGCGACTATATGCAGCGAGTTAGTTAGGTGAGCTCCCTTCACGAGCCCGGAGGGCGAACGCCGCTCCACCTGGCGGCCGCCTCGGGCCAGAGCGCCATCGTCTCTCTCCTCCTGGCCGCCGACGCGCCGCACAGCGCAGAGGACTGGCAAGGGGCCACGCCGTTCCAGATGGCGTGCCGCCGCGGCCACCACGTTGTCGCCGCCCAGATCTCGTCGTGGGCAACGCGTTGCGGCGGCGGCGCGAGCGAGGTACCCACCGAGCAGGAGCTACGCGGCTTCGAGCTGGTGGAGGGGATGGCGGTGCGGGAGCGCGCGAGGCGGCGCCGCTGCATCGACGGGCGGCCTCTGTTGCAGACGCCGTTCACGCTCGACGGGCTGCTGAGCGACGACGGCTGCCGCAGTCTGATCGCCGCGGCGGAGGGCGTCGCGGCGCGCCGCGGCTGGCTGTCGTCCCGCCACCGCTACCATTCGACAGTGGACATGCCACTGCACGTCGTGCCGAGGGCTCAGTACGCGGCACTGCGCCCTAGAAGCTGCGTGTGCACACGCGTTTTCGTGCTCCAAGTACCGCTCGAGAGGACGCGCATTCGGCTGTACTCGGCCGTACTCGGCCGTGCTTCTACTGCGTGTGCGTGTGCTTCAACTGCGTTCGCCCTGATGCCCGCGTCTCCACCGCAACGTAGGCGTTGCGCTCCCTCCTCGACGGCACCGTGCTCCCGACGATGCGCCGCCGCTACGCCACCGCGCCGCTCCGCATTCGGGAAGCGTTCGTCGTAAAGTACGAGGCCGCTGCAGCTCCACCTCCCGCCGACCGCGCGCCCGCCGACGCGCAAGGGACGCACGCGACGGCGGCGGCGGCGCCGCGGCAGGCCGGGATCCGTAATCGCACAAGCCGCCCCCCTCTCTGTTGTCCGCCAGTGTGTGAGACTCTCTCCCTTTCCCTCTCTCTCCCCCTCTCCCTCTCCCTCTCTCTCGCATTCGCAGCTAGTTCATCTCCCTTCCCCCCTCCCTCTCCCTCTCCCTCTCTCTCTCTCGCATTAGAGCAGCTAGTTCACGACAAGGCGGTGAGTACCTGTACTTGGCGGCACCGCGGCAGGCGGGGCTGGGCATCCATAGAGACGGCACGCTGCTCAACTGCGTGCTGCTGCTCTCTGACCCCGCCGACTTTGACGGGGGTGGGGGCAGTAGTAGACGCGAGTAGGCAGTAAGGCAGGAATAGTAGTGGGCAGGAGTAGCCAGCAGAAGACAGCAGTAGACAGCAGTGGGCAGTAGACAGCAGTAGACAGCAGTAGACAGCAGTGGGCAGTAGGCAGTAGTCGGCAGTGAGGCAGGGCGAGGCGGAGGGGGGCGGCGAGGGGGACGCAGATGGTGGAGGCGAGGGCGAAGGCGGTGGATGCGGTGAGGGCGGGGGAGAAGGCTCCGGAGCGATTGCACACATCCCGGTGAAGTCGACGCACTGATATGCGGTGCTTTGCAGCCAGTAGACAGCAGTGGGCAGTAGACAGCAGTAGACAGCAGTGGGCAGTAGACAGCAGTAGACAGCAGTGGGCAGTAGACAGCAGTAGACAGCAGTGGGCAGTAGACAGCAGTAGACAGCAGTGGGCAGTAGACAGCAGTAGACAGCAGTGGGCAGTAGACAGCAGTAGACAGCAGTGGGCAGTAGACAGCAGTAGACAGCAGTGGGCAGTAGACAGCAGTAGACAGCAGTGGGCAGTAGACAGTAGACAGCAGTGGGCAGTAGGCAGCAGTAGACAGCAGTAGACAGCAGTGGGCAGTAGACAGCATGGGCAGTAGTCAGTAGTCGGCAGTGAGGCAGCAGCAGGCAGCACCCCCGCCGATTGCCTAGAGCGTCCCAGTTTCCGCCTCATGCGCCGCCGTCTGCCTCGCGCCCTACCGCCTGCCTCACACCCTGCCGTCTGAAGGCGGCACCGTCTTCGCGCCACCGCTCGACCGTTGCTACCGCGCTGGCCGCGGCGATTGCCTCTGCTCGTGCGGCCAGCTGCCGCACGGCGCCGCCGCAGTCACGCGCGGCATCCGCTACGTGCTCATCGTCTTCATTGATGAGCTCGTGTTTGACGACGCTGCCGTTGACGACGCTGTCGTTGGCGAAGCAGCGTCGCCGCCACCACCGCCCCCCTATCTCCCCCCCTCGCTCCCGCTCTCGTCCCCGCCTTCGTCCTCCGCCTCGCCGGCCGCGGACGCCCTCGTCGGGCAGCTGCGCGCTCTCGTCTGCCAGCACGAGGCGGCGCCAATGTCTCTCGAGGCGCTGCACGCGCGGGTCTCGGAGTTGGCGGCGGAGGCTGCCGTCGGTCAGACGGCGCTCATGGCGATGGCCACATCAGGTGGCGTCACCACCCGCACCACCGGTGGTCCTACCGCCGCGCCCGCTTGCTCGCCCTCGTCTGCTCCCTCGAGCCAGCCGATGGCCTCGCCGTCTAGCTCGCCAAGCTCCGCGCCCTCCAGGAGTCCGAGCGCCGCCCCCTCTGCCTCGCCGCTCACCGCAGGTGGCCTTGCGGGTCTGGCACCTCTGGGTGCGGCGGACGACGCGTCTACGAGCGGTGCTGACTGCGGCATCAACGGCGCCGCACTCGCAGAGAGCGGCCGCGGCGACGACGGCGGCGGTGAGCGCGAGACATCGGCGGGTTGGATGGACGCGGCGGAGCGGGCGGCACGTGGATTCTCAGCGGATGAGACGGTGGTGATGCCGCTGCCCAACTTTGATGACTCTGATGACGACGATTGATGTGGCCAGAGCTGTAGCGGTGGTGGAGTCGGGAAGGAAGGGAGGTGTGAAGGGAGATGTGTCGTTGTTGCTATTCAACTGACCCAGCCTTGTGCGACGGCGACCGGTGCACTGCAGTGTGCAGTTTCGTGTGTTCGCCTCCACGACCTCACGCCCTTACGTCAGTACTCTAGACACATAGAGGGTGCGGTGCGTCCAGGCATCGCTTCAGTGAGGCCAAAGTGAGTTTATGGATGTGTGAGAACGGTACGGGACACGAGGAGGCGCACGCGGACCAACTCGTCGGTGACTCTGCTGCACGCCTGACCCGGCGGACATGGAAGAAAGAATCTCGACGGCGGGTCGGCTCGCTCAGATACATATCATTCTCAAACACGTAGGCATGACGCGGATCTCGTAATACCCCTTGGCATATTCGGCTTGCCCTCCACAGACTCCTCCTTGTACTCGCGCAGCTGGTCGGCAAGGGGAGTCGTTCTCGATTCCTTGGTGCAGTTGGCGGTGCTCGGGACCGGGCGGCCGCCGACCTCAAGCTCAATCACCGGTGGCACAGCCTGGCTCCGAAGGGCCGGAGCCTATGGCTGAGATCTAGGCGTGCCAGCCATCCTTAGCACGGATGGCTGCGAAACAGGGAGCGCAGCCATTTTATATAATATAAAATGAACTCGGGGGCACGGGACGCGGCACAAACGGGGCACAAACGCCAGGCTACAAAGACGGGGAGGCACGTAGTGACGCAGGGGAGTCTAGGCGACGGCGGCGTCCTCCGACGCCGCGGCGAGCCTGAGCTCGGTCGCAATCTCTTCCGCCGCCGCGAGCTGCAGCGCGACTGACGTGCGCTGGGCCTGCAGCGACAGCCACGACCGCGTCGACCAGCTCGCCTCGTCCTCGTGCTGCCGCTTCAGGTGCAGATTTCGAGGTTAGTGTCCGAGGAGGCCACCGGCCAAAAGCGCATGTCTTGAAGGTCCGATACTGGAAGCCCATATAGGCACCTTACACTCCCCCGCAGTATCGCACCTCTTGAGCGACACTACGTTTCCTCAGCTGGGGATTCTCCGGGTACCCCTCTTTGTACCCGTGCTGGCCGGATTCCTCCTCCGAACAAATCAAGTTCGATCGGCCCCAGTCTCGAACTGGCAGCCACTATCTCACCGGAGGTACCATGTCAGGAGACGGAACACGGAGGAGCTGTCGCGGATGAGCGCATCAGGGACGTGAGGACGATCTTCAATGCCCCGAACGTTGATGTTGCGCCACGGGCCGCCGACGTCGGAGATGGCAGGCTCAGTCTCAGACGTCCAGACGGCAGAGGCGCTCGTAGAGGCGCATTGGACTTCTTGCCAGAGGCGTTGGACAGCGGGACGGGCTAGCGCGAGGAGGCGAGACGAGGAAGAGACAGCAATGAGGTAGAGTGGCATTGCCACGTCGAACAGATGCCCAACACTCCCCCACGACGTGGTAATCGCCACACAAGGCAGAGAGGGCGTGTCGATCGTCGCGTGTTCATCGCGTACAGCTCCGGTCGTGTCGAGCGGCGACGTCGGAAGTAGCGGCGGCGAAAGGCAGGGTCCACATTCGGTGCGAGATCTTTGCGGTAACTGCCGTTGCAGCAGCCCGAGAGCTGGTAGCGGAGGCAGCAGCTGCGATGGTGGTCCGTAGGCGAGGAGAACGGACCGGTAAGGAGAAGCAAGAGGGGATACTCGTGTCCACACAGCCGCAGTGCTGGCGGAGATGCGCTCTGTCGCAGAAGATCCGCAAGCACCAAAGTTGATGTTGCGGTTGTACTCATTCTGCTCAGCCTCCGTGCCGAGCAGTTGGCGGCCGCTGTGCCACCGTGCGCCGAGCCTCTGTGCCCAGCCAATCACCACGGCTCGCGCAGGTGCCCATGGTGCCAGCCAACGTATCGAGCGTAAGCCGGAAATGCTGTGCGGCAACACATCTCGCTTGTGTGCCGCACCAGCTCTCATGTCGGCCTCAGTGCCGCACTGCTCACTCCGTGCACTCACCGGTCGGTACCATGTCAGGAGACGGAACACGGAGGAGCTGTATAGGTCACTAGAGACCCACACCATCGCTACATCACCACAGCCACCAAGTCGGATACAAGTCGATGACAATGTGCGCGGCAGGAGAAACCCAACAGCATGACAATGTGCGCGGCAGGACAAACCAAACATGAGACACGGTTACACAAGGACGGTCAAGCTACGGTCAGGAAGTAGGTTTGAGTTCACACTCTCCAACAGTTAGCCGTCATCAACCTCACGCCTTACACAGCGGTCACAGGCGCAGCCTCGCAAGTCCCGTCCCCCCGGTCCCGTGTTGTCCCTTCATATATGCATTGCTGCATCGCTGCTGCAGAGATGACTCTCCCCCGCCGCATCGTCGATTGCCACCACCACTTCCTTGCGCCCGACGAGCCCTTCCACGCCACGCTCGGCGCGCTCGGCGCGCCCGCCTACACCGCGGAGCAGTACGCCGCCGACTCGGCCGGGCTGCCGATCGAGAAGACTGTGCACATCGAGGCGCTGGCGGACGACGGCGCGGGCGAGGCGGCGTACGTCGACGCGCTCGCCAGCCGCGGCGCCTGCAAGGTGGCCGCCATCGTCGCCAACTGCGACCTCTCTGCGCCCGACGCCGCCGCGGCGCTCGACAAGATCCAGGCGGCGAGCGCGCGCGTGCGCGGCATCCGGTACATCCTCGACTACGACGGCCCCTTCGACGGCGAGTGCCCGACGCACGTCGCCTGCAAGGCCCACGCCACCGACTACCTCCGCGACGCGTCCGCCGCCGCCGCGTTTGAGCGCGGCTTCGCGCTGCTCGCGGCCCGCGGGCTGTCGTTCGACCTGCAGCTCTGCCCTGCGCAGATGGAGGCGGCGGCGGCGATGATCAGCCGCCACCCCGGTGTGCCAGTGGTGATTGACCACATGGGCAAGCCGTGGAGGCTGCGGGCGGACGGCGGTGCCGCCGACGCGGCAGAGCTAGCGGCGTGGCGCAAGGGGATGGCAGCGCTGGCGGCGCTGCCGCAGGTGAGCTGCAAGCTGTCGATGCTTGGGGTGGCGGTGCCGGGCTGGCCGGCGGGCGGCGCTAAGGAGGAGCTGCTGCGTGGCTTGGTGCTCGAGACCATCTCGCTCTTTGGCGCGCGCCGCTGCATGTTCAACTCCAACTGGCACATCAACGGCGCCGTCTCCAACTCGGACGCCGGCGACGTGCCCAGCGACGAGGCGCTCACGATGGCTTCCCTCTTCGAGCGCTTCCACGGATGGGTGGCGCACTTGGGCGAGGCGGAGCGCGAGGCGCTCTTTGCGGGCAGCGCGGAGCGCTTCTACCGCATCTAGCTAACCCTCCGGGTGCGGCGGGCAAGGCTCATGTTGCATAGCCAGCACCTCTGCTGAGAGCACGTACCCGCCCGTCTAGGAAGTGTCTAGGAGGTGTCTAGGAAGCCAGCACCTCTGCTGAGAGCACGTACCCGCCCGTCTAGGAAGTGTCTAGGAGGTGTCTAGGAAGCCAGCACCTCTGCTGAGAGCACGTACCCGCCCGTCTAGGAAGTGTCTAGGAAGTGTCTAGGAAGCCAGCACCTCTGCTGAGAGCACGTACCCGCCCGTCTAGGAAGTGTCTAGGAAGTGTCTGGGAAGCCAGCACCTCTGCTGAGAGCACGTACCCGCCCGTCTAGGAAGTGTCTAGGAAGTGTCTAGGAAGTGTCTAGGAAGCCAGCACCTCTGCTGAGAGCACGTACCCGGTCTGTCCCCTCAGTGTCGTCGGTGGCTGGACGCTATCGGCTGCCCGGGTAGGTAGAGTGTCTCCGAGTACGGAGATAGCCGGAGAAAGAATGATCTCAATGATGCACGCCCCAGCCACTCCCGCAGCGCGCAGCCCGCAGGGGCTCAGGCAGCGACACGGGCGCCCCGCTGGTCAGTGGTCAGCGGTGGTCTGGAACGATTCCGTTTTTCTCGCGGAGGGTACGCCGGTGTGCTATCCCCCGCCGCGGGCGCGGCGCTCGAGACCCGAGCTACGGCTCTATACAAATCTATACTTTACCACACCACCTCGTGTGTGTGGAGAAGTTTACGTAAAGTACCTTAAATCTTACCTTATACTTTAAGGTGGCACCTACGGCGCTCGGCGGGATACCCGCGGAGACGGCGGGATACGGCCCGGATACCGGCCCTCCGGGAGATACGGCTTTAGCCGCGCGCTGCAGCGGGCTAAAACGGACCTTGAGACACGCCTCGGCTACCAATAGCTTTGACGCTGTGTGCACTCAGCCGAAAGGGACGAGCGTCTGCCGCCGCAACAAGGAAGTGGCCCAGCCAGATCACACACACCGAGTACCGGGAGCGACCCGACAGCTGCCCCGGCCCAACCAAGCGCTGGTCCTGTCCGTATCTAAGCGATGCTCGCCTCGCTCGCCTCGCTCCCTGACAAGCGCCATGGTGGCGGGTCGGGGCATTGGGCGTTGCGTTGTAATTGATGACTGAAACTTAGACTTAACATCACCCCAAAGAGGGGCTTTCATTCTCGCCCTCCTCAGGTTCTCTGCTCTTGCTGCGCTTGGTGTGACTGTGCTCAGTGTGACCCAGGAGTCGAGGCGGGGCCATGCCGGGCACGACAGTCCACGGGAGCGCCTCGCGGGGCAGGCTCGTCAAGTTGTGCCGCATGGTTGCAAACTCACACGAAATGAAGGAGGCGGAAAAGAAAGAAAGCGGACGCAACGGGCTTCGTCGTAGAAGACACACTGACTCCTGTTGTACCCACAAAGTGCGGGGGGCGCGGAGAGACACGAGAGAACGCCAGCAGAACAGAAGGGCTCGTGTTCTCCGTGCCCAGTGTCGTGCGAGAGAGTTCAGCCCCCCCCCCCCCCCCGCGAAACTTGCGCGTGACATCCGCCCAACTCGCCATGGCGCACCGCCTGGTCATGCACCACCGTCTCAACCTCTCCATCAGCCCCGTGGAGCACACGGCCTCCTCGCGTCAATTCGCCGACTGCTCGGCCGGCGTCGTGCACCCGACCCATCAGGTCTGCTGCAACGCTACTTGCGGGCTGTGCGGCGGACACAGCTGCTCCAGTCGCCCTGGCGGACCACGCCAGTGCTGCATTCCCGCGATTTTGCGTTCGGGTCGGGTCTGCGAATCACGGGCGGACGTGGCCTGCATCCTGCTGGAATCCCAGCGAGCCGTCAAAGCGGTGCCGCCGCCGCCGCAGCCGTCCCGCAGCGCCGCCGCAGCGCCCAACAAGGCCGGATTGCGCGGCGACGCCTGGGGCAGCAGCAACTACAACGTGCCGGTCACCCATGCCGCCTGCTACAACCCACGCGTTGCCCCAAAAGGCGCGCCACACGAGACTCTGCCATTCCCGCCGCTGTGTCTCGAGGCGTCACGATTCGAGAACATGGCTGCCCGCAATGCACATGCACGCCAGCTCTACGTCGCCGAGGCGTCCGGGGCTGCGGTGTGGTTCCAGCACGTGCGCAAGGCGGGCGGCACCACGCTGTGCAGCTTTTTTGGGCAGCCAGGCAACGCACGCGCCCGTGTCCGCGACAACTGTTGGGGCTTGCCCGGGCAAGACACCATGAGAGCGCAGCAGTTCCCTCGTGTGTTGAAGCACATGGCGGAGCGCGGCCTGGATCTAGTATCGTCGGAAGGCGGAGACTTTCCGCCGTTCGCGCGACGAGGGATGCTCGACGACACGCTGTCGAACTTCACCTTTTTGAGCGTTGTGCGCCACCCGATTGACCTGCTGATTTCGCACACCGTGTACGATCTCGACCTAAAGCTGCGCTGCAACGACCGCACGCGTTGCCCCGACTCGGCGCCAATGGACCTGGCTAAGCTGTCAGATGCCCTCTTGGCAATCGCCAACGGCACCGGCGTGACCAACACGGGCTCGCGAAAGAAGGGCCCAACGCTACTCAGCAAAGGTTGCCGCTTTGACAACTACCTTACGCGCGTCTTCTCGTCGTCTTGTGCGCGGCCGCATGCCGAGGTGGGCGTCCGGGAGCTGCGGCTGGCACTGGCGACGCTCGCCTCCTTCCAGCTGATCTTCGTGCTGGAGTGGCTCCCTGAAATGCTGCCCCTAGCACGCTACCAGCTCGGCTATAGCTCGGCGCACTTTGACGTCTCCAACCGCAACACCCACCTCAGGCCGTACGAGTTCTCTCTCGAAAAATGGCAGCCCGCCCGCAGAGAGGCCACACTCGGAAGCCTCAGCTCAGCCACTGCGCTTCGACGCGCGCTTCCTGCTGCAACAACGGCTCAGCTGGAGCAACACCTCGCCTACGACTTTCTGCTCTACGAGCAGGCGCGGGTGCTAGCGCGCGCGCATGAGTCGCACTGGCTGTACCAGCATGAAGGACGAGAGTGATTCCACGCGCTGAGTCAGAATATAGATACTAGTTCGGACTATAGTTGTTTTGAGAAATCCGTGTCCGTGTCGGCGTCGGCGGGGGGTCGCGTCCGCGGAGATCACAGATCAGGAGCAGTCACGAGGCAGCAGGGACCTCCGAGGGACCATGTGGAAGATGGCTCTAGCTCTAGTGCTATAGTCCCCGCCATCGGCGGGAGGACGACCCCGCGGCTGGCCAGTCCGTGTCGCCGACCCAGCACGAAGAAACCTGCACATGAGATACCCATCTCCTATATAAGTTTCTGGTGTCAAAAAAAACGACACCTATCGCTACCGCGAGTCCATGCGCGCGTAGCTGGTGTGGTATTCGTTGATCCACCCCGTGTGCCAGTCGTCGATGCCAACGATTAGCGAACGGAGGACGATCCGATTCCGTGTCTCGTCGTCAGAGCTGTGCACGCGAACCAGGCACGAGCTCGGCGCGCTGCATGCCCCCTTGCGCGGAGTTGCGTTGCTCGCCATGGGCCACGTCACGTATTTGAAGAATTTTGTGACGGCCACGTTGGATGCACCGCGCGTGTCGTATGACGTGCCGTTGAGACACGACGCCCTGCCCGAAGTTGGCATACATCGGCAACGGCAGCCTCCGTGACACGAAACGCGCATGATGCCGTAGGCAGGAACGTAGGACGGACCTGCAACTTGCATGCCGACGGCAAGCCGATAGCGTTTTGCGACAACGCCGGCGGTGCCTCGCGGCAGAGGCAGGCACATAGCGAGGCTTGCTCGTGGCAAACGCGTCTCCCATCCGACCTTTGGAGGGGACCGACGATCGAGAGTCACGCGTTCGAAGCGGTGCCGCCGCTGTATAACGCCCGCAATGTCGTCGCCGGTCATGCACGTCACGCCGAGTTCCGCGACGGTGCCTGTCTGTCCGTCGCTGATGCGTTTCCTCGGTGGCCCGGACAAATCTGAGACGTTCAGCATGCCCAGCAGCCGGTGAAACACGTGGTGGTGACCTTTCTGACTAATGTGCATGTGGTCCTTGTTAAAGAGATGCTTATCGCGCTTGCTATCGTCGTCGACAGTCACGATCGACGCATTGTACCTCAGGGCCACGTCGACGACTCGGTCGCGCAAAGCGGCCACGCGCGCTCGTGTATGACAGCCGTATCGACGCGTCTGGCCGACGCACCCCGCAAACCGTTTTGTGCCCGGTAGGATGTTGACAAACACGATCTGCGCGCCCAGGCCCCACAGACGATGGGTGATTCGCTCGATCGACCTTATCTCATCGCCATCTTCCTCCGTATACCCAATATTTGGGATGTACTCAATCGTGGCAACCCGAGCGTCCGACGGCACAAACTTGTCCATGCAGGACGCCGCCAAAATCGGACCCATGCCCCCGATGGCCGAGTCGACGTGACGAAAGGGGACCTGCGACTGCAAGAACTCGGTCAGCTGCAATGAAAAGGATCTCGAGCGCTGCCACCAGTCTGGCTTCCCCACGTCCTGTGCACCGAGTGTGTTGGATCCACCCAAGGACACGTATGCACCGCTGATACGCTTGCTTGTGCAGTTCTGGCAGCTTGATAGCAAGTATGAGACGGCGCGTCCACTCCAGTACGTTGACGAGCTGAAGCTGCTGCAGGATGCCCAGCAGAAGCAGCCCGTTGGCTGGCGTAGCGTGAACGCTGACCACCCTATACATTTCCTGGCGCAATGCTCGGCCGCACTGCTGTCGTGCTGGCGGTGAGCAGCGGCGAGCGTCTCGTCTTCACTGCAATGACGCTGCACACAACGCCAGCCAGGCAGTCTGGTGCACTGGAGCGCTGCGGCTGCTGACGAACTTACAATGCTGAAGAGGATGGACAGACTCAGCGCGCGCGCCGCCGCCGCCGCCGCCGCCGACATCGTCCTTGACCAGAGTCGGCAAAGAGCGCGACGTGGGCTGGCGAGGCACTCCCACGCCTTGCCCGGCGAGCTTGCCCGGCGAGACTGCGTCAGGAAAAGGCGATTCGTCTCCGAATCTCCCGGGCTGGCAGCCGTCGCCAGGAGTTCATCCTTGGTTTCTTTTCCAGTGCAGCTGCTGCGTTCGGAAAGGGGGTCCGTGAGATCCTCCGGAAGGCGGCGGACGTGCTACAGAACAAGCTGACGCGGGCCCAGTACCTCGATGAGGTGACTTGGACCACTAAGAATTGGCTGGGGCTGCAGAAGCAGCGTATCTCAGTCGTTCTTCACACGGCCATCGCAGAGCAGGTCGTGAATGAGCTTGCCTGTGGCGGGGGTGGGCGGGTGCACGGAGCTAAGTGCCTCGCCACCCTCGCAGGAGTCGCTTAGGCGGCTCCCGTGGTGTACCTGTGTTAGTGCCAGTGCGCGCCAGTCCCGTGCCCAGTGTTGTGCGAGGGAGTTTTGTTGTAAAATTCTTTTCCAGCGAAGGTGAGTGCGAGCTCCCCGAGACGCTGGAATCTGTCCGAGGGGTGGCAGCAAACGGCTGCGCGGTGAGCACAGTCGCACTCCCTCTGTGTAGCGCCTCAGGGTGAAGGGGTGGCATGCCGGGTCAAGCTGAGACTAATGGTAGAGGCACCAGGGGTCGTTCTTCGCCCACAGCAGCAACTGACAGAACAGGCGCAACGACGCCCGCCCGACTGGGTGGCATACACAGACGGGTCGGAAGACCTAGGGAAAGCAGGGTGGGCCTATGCAGTACTCATCGGGGGCGACGCCATCGGCGATGAGGGCGCGTCGCTGACGAGCGAGGGCTACGGGCCAGTTGTCACTTCGGCGGCGCACCCAGCCTACCTCGGCGCGCGTAAGCATACCAACAACACGGCGGAACTAACCGCCCTAGCCGAGCTCCTCCGGGCTCTTCTATCCTCGTCACCGCAACGAGCGGGCTCACGCGGAATAGTGCGCACCGATAGCGAGTACGCGGCGGCATGCATGATGGGGAGGGTGACCCCCAAAACGAACAGACAGCTGGCGGAGCGCCTTCAGTCCCTCTGGCGACGCCTTCGCGCCAAACACACCGTGACGTGGAGGCATGTGGCGGGTCACAGCGGCAACAAATGGAACGACTACGTCGACGAGCTAGCTGCTCGCGGCAGGCAAGGTGACAGAGGCTCAAACGCTGCCGAGTGGGCGGACAACACCATCCCGACGGACACTCCTGACGAGGAAAGCAGCGCGGAGGGGGGCGACAGCAGTACCATTGGGCACGGGGCAACAGGCGGCGGCCAGGACTCGGAGAGGGAAGATGATAGCGACGCCGACTGTGGACCTGCTACACCAACGGCTACAGCCCCAGCCAACCCCGTCAGCCTCCCCTCGCCCGCCACCGACCCTGAAGCCGCACCCGTCGCTAACCCTCGCCGTGCCCCCCGAGTTCGAGCGATATGGTCCGATTACGTGCCGAGCGAGCAGGCGAGGGAGATCGGAGACGATCGGGGAGCACGATGCGTAATTGCCCTCGATGTTGACCCTCCCCCACCACCACTCTCCCCGGACGGCGCCGCTCTCGCACCTGCTATGGTCTCTCTCTCGATACACAACACGCTCGCCGACTTGGCAACAAGGGTTGACTCCCTCGCGCTAGGCGACGAACCTGCCCCCGCCCTCGGGGCGGGGGCCCCCGCCCCCCCGGGGGGCCCTTTGGGCCCCCTCCAGGGGGCGACCCCTCCGGGGAGGCCGGCTTTCCCCGGGCCGGTTCTCCCCAACCAACCCCGCCGGCAGAGCGCGAGCTGCCGGCCACATTGAGCGGTTCGTCCGCGTCGCGCACTCGTCCCAACCGGGGGCCGCAGACTGGTTCTGCGCGCCAACGGCTGGTGACGCTGTGTTGCCCTTGAGCTAGTCCTTCCCCGGTCGCCTAGCCTCTGCGCTGTCTGGCGAACGCCTCAGTATGCCATGCGCGCGGACCACGCTTGCGTGGATACGTGGCTGGCAGGCTGACCCGTGTGCGGGGTAACCCGCGCACGGGGAAGCTTCACGGGTTCGAGTCGCCAAACATTAAGCAGCGGAGGTGTGCCGAGGGGGACCGGGACGAGGCGGTAAGCCGTCGTCGCCCGGCGCTGCATGCAGCACCGTGGCGATGGCGCTAAGAGGTTCCTCTTTTCCGCGCCCCCCCCGCAAGGCGCGCGATACACACCAGCTGTTAGTGACGCTCTCTCTCTCCCAACTGTGAACAAGTCTATCCCTTCTCGACTGTCTGAGCTTGTGCGTCTTGGGTCCGTGGTTGTGTTTTTGTGTGAACAGTCGTTATCTCTATATGCGCAGCTATTCATAGCCGCGCCTGTTGTTTGTGTGTGTATCCGCGCTCTTGGCGCGAGACTGACTAGTGTGTCGCACTAGTTGTACTTTTCGTAATAGTATTCCGCATTCATTGCGAGGGCGGACCACTCCTAGCGTGCAGACCGCGGGAGCTGGTGCCGCGGCCAGTGTAGACCTGGCATGCGCTGTGACGCGCGCGCTCATCTGGGGTGCTGCCAGCAACCAACCAACTCACCGGCGAGCGAGCGAGCGGGCGGAGCGAGCCGAAGAGGTGGGGCCAAATTGGCGCTGTGGACGTCGCTTGAACGACAGCCGTCCAAGCAGCAGCAGCAGCAGCACCCAGGTGTTTCTATCATTAAGATCGAGGGGTCCCGTACCATGCGGAATCGACCCTATCCAGTGCTCAAGTGCTCAAAATACCCGAGGTGGACTGTTGAGTAACAGTATAAGCGCGGACGACGGACGAAAGCGGGGGGTGTTGTCCTTCAGCGCGCCGAAGCCAGAGGTGCCGCACGACGCGGTGTTGCGAGGCGACGAAGCGGTGGTGCGTTCGTAGCTCGAGATTTGATTGATTGATGAGGTGGGCGAGATTGGCGGTGCTTTCTTCTCTCTCTGTGGAACCTCGTCTCCGATGTCAGCTCCGTCGGCGTCGGCCGCCGCGACGGTGTCTCCACGCCGGGAGCTCACGAGTCAATGCATCTGTCCCGCGGCGCTCTGGGGCGTGCGTTGCCGCCGGCAGCGCGTCTACAGCGGCTGTCCCTTCACGCACGAGGTGCCTCCTCTCGCACGCATTCATTACGATGCGCTGAGATTGGAGCGCATTGCACGCCTCCAGGCTGAGAATGCTGCGAAGGTGCGCAGCGCGAAGCTGGCGCCGAGGCCGCCCGCACCCGTCGGTGACCATATCGAACGGCTTCGCGCCGAGGCCGTCGTGCAGTACGACACGGATGCCCACCCGCTTGGGCAGCTCATTGCCGCAGTGCTGGAGTGCATGCCTGGCGAAGCGCTCTCTGCGCTCCACCTGCGACCGCTGCCCGAGGAGCCGCCGCTCTGCCCGACACTACTGCACGCCTTTCGGCTCAACGGTCGTAAGCTGCCAAGCGAGTTCACCAACCTGATGGGCCGCGGTCGAAATCGCAAGCTCCTTGCGAAACTGTGGGCATCGGCAGCTTATCGTCGGTGGCTCGATGGCTACGACGCGTGGGTGCGCGCGGTGGTGCTGCCCGCAGCGGGCGGCGATGCGATCTATTACCAGCGGCCGCCCACGCTCCGTGTCGCGATGCCGTCGGTCGCCGCTACGATTGGCATCCATCGCGATGCCGATTACCCGCGCCACCAGCCAGCCGAGATCAACTGGTGGTGTCCGCTCGTCGACGTCGCCGATTCGAGTGCGCTTTGGCTCGAGTCGGCCCCCGGGCGTGGGGACTTTGCGCCACGCGCCCTCCGAGTCGGTGAGGCGCTGCGCTTTAACGGCTCGCTCTGCCGCCATCATACGGTGGCCAATCAGAGCGGTACCACACGCGTTTCGTTCGACCTGCGTGCCATCCCTGCAGCGGCCGTCGTTGGCGAGCCGCCGGAGCGGATCGGCGACTACGATGTCGCTTTCATGGCACCGTGAGTGTCGAGTCATGCCCGTGTGATGCCTGATGAGATCATCGTTGACGTCGAACGGCTACGAAGCCTTCACACTCCAATCGATCCCGAGTTCGTCCGTGTCTAATGGTAATGAGCCCCGGGAGGGGTACACCGTACACACGTACCTTTTGTGCACTGCTCGCTGGCCGCTCGCGCTCCTCGGACCTCGCGGGTTCCCCCCGCCTCGCTGTGGGGGCTGGTCAGAGGAGGGCGCGGCGCAGTTCCAACTCTTTTTTTTGGCAGGCTGATAGAGGGCAGAGAGAGTCAACACGAATAGACTTACGTACATGCACACGAAAGGCAAGGAGTCACGTTTACGTACTGATGGCGGGCGGGCAGCGCGCGCGCGCTCCTGGCGCGCCGCCCACCTCGCTGCATGCCGCGCCGCCTCTCCTGCCGCCGCCGGAAGGAAGCTCGCGCGTCGCAAGCCGAGGAGAGGTGCCGCCGCCTCCCGCCCGCCTCGAGGTCCGCCCCCCGCCGCCGCCCAAGGCCGGCGCGGCTCCGGGCTGTGCTCACCGGGCCGCTATACGTCGACCGCGGCGGCGCGGCGCTGCTGCCGCCAGACGGCGCTAGACGGGCACTCCGAAGCGGGAGATGGTTTCCCGCGCCTGGTGGGGCAATCGAGTCACGCTCAGAGGGACCACGGCCCCGCGGCGGCGGCGAGCCCGCTCGTTGCGGCCCTTCCATCTCGGCCAATCCAGCCAATCTCGGCCAATCTCGGCCAGTCTCCTCGGCCAACCTCGGCCCACTCTCGACTCAGTCTCGTCGAGACCCGCTTGCGCCTCCTTCGGCCAGTCTCTCGGCTCCGTCGCGGCTAGCTCCCGCCTCGTTGAGGTCCTTTTGCACCTTCTTCATCTGGTAGTAGATTGGCGAGTCGCGAGCGATCCCGAGCACGTCCTTGTAGTTGTCGCCTAAAAAAGAAAACAGCCGCCTGAAGAGAAAACGCGGCGAACGATCCCGAGCCCGCCCTTGCAGCCGTCGCCTAGCACAGCACCCGCAAGGAGATGCAGAGAGGAGGAGGGCGGCGCGCTGGGAAGCAGGCCCGCGCGGAGCGGTCGCCGGTGATGCGCTGGCACTGCACCATGATCTGCCAGAACCTGTTCACGGCAAGCGGTGTGAAGAGACGCTGTTCACAGCTGGCACTGAACCATGATCCGCCAGCACCGCTTCTCGCAGGCGGAGAGGTGGCGCAGCTTCTCCATGTACACCTCGGCCTCGCGGTGCGTGCAGTTGGCGCAGAGAGCGCCGCCCGACTTGAGCACCTGCGGCGAGGAACAAAAGAAATACGCGCCGCCAAAAGGCGAACCTCGGTGAACCTCGGCGAATCTCGGCGAGTGTCGGCGAGTGTCGGGCGAGTCTCGGCTAGCGAGCACCGCTCTGCACCCGAGGCAGCGCACCGACACGGTCACCATGCCCATCAGCCCGCCCGTGGTCGGCATCACCTGTTCACAGCCGGAGGTGTGAAGAGACGCTGCTCACAGCAGCCCGCCCGTGGTGGTGGGCATCGCCTTTTTGATCTTGCGCGTGTGTTCGCCCGAGAGGACCTGAGGCGTTTGGGGGAGGAGGGAGGGAGGAGGGCAGGAGGGGGAGGAGTGTGAGAACAAGAATCGTTGAGAACAAGAATGCGAGTGGGCAACTGGGGATGCGATGGGGGACTCTGGAGATGCGCATGGTACAGACCGTTGAGCTAACTACACCCCCCCCCCCCCCTCTTGCGGCACTGCTTCTGTCTTCGGACCTGCAGCTTGACATCGTCGACGAGCGGGTCGAAGAGGCGCTTGATCGGCTCCGACAGCTGGTGCTCGAGGTACCAGTCCGTGTCGAGCGGGATGTTGTTGTCGAGGACAAAGATAGGGTCCTCGGCCTTCTCCCACGCCTTGGCCTTGGCCGCGCCCTTGACCATCACGTACGGGATCCGGTCGCCCACCTTTGGGGAGATGCGGGGAGATTGCGGGGAGATTGCGGGGAGAGATGACGTACGGGATCCGGTCGCCCACCTTTGGGGAGATGCGGGGAGATTGCGGGGAGATGTGGGGGGATGCGGGGAGATGCGGGGAGAGAAGGCAAAGTAGTGGGACCGGACCACTCATTCCTTACTACGTTGCGGCATGAGAGAGGGCGGAGGTGCCTTCGGCGCGAGGCCCGGGTCGCGCTTCCGGATGCGCTCGGCGAGCACGACGTGCGCCTGCGGGGGGAGATGACCTGAGATCACCCGAGATGACGCGAGATGACGCGAGATGACGCGAGATCACCCGAGATGACGCGAGATGACGCGAGATGACCCGAGATTGGCGAGGCGAAGCGATCGCTCGTGACAAGCGCTCGCACCGGATCCGCTGATCTCGCCGCATCTCGCCGCATCTCGGCGGATCTCGGCGGATCTCGCCGGATCTCTGCGGATCTCGGTGGATCTCAGCGGATCTCGGCGGATCTCGCCTGCCGGTTGCCGGCCTCGTACTGGTCCGCCGAGCGCGTGAACGCCTTCGAGGTGGCGGGCTTGCCGGTGAGTCATGAGTCCTACCACTGTGACCGGTCGTCCTTGCCCACGAGTGCCTTCGAGATGACCAGCTTGCCCATGTCCATCTCGTTCATCAGCAGCTTGGAGATCTGGCGCTTGACGTACGAGATAGCCTGGGGTGAGGGGAGAGGGGAGGGGGTGGGGGGGGGGTGGGGGGGAGGATGGGGGGAGAGGGGGGGAGATGTGGGGGGATGCGGGGGGGGAATCTGGCGCTCGACGTGCGAGATTGCCTTGTCTGGCTCGCCCTCGATCAGGATGTTGCGCAGCGAGGTGTCGACCACGTCCTTCACCAGCTCGCAGTTGTCGCGCCGCACCGTCTCGATCCCCTTGCAGTCCATGTAGTCGTGCTTGGCCGTGCTGGTCCACAGCAGACCCGCGTACCTAGAGACTCACCCGCGACCTCCCGCGACCTCCCGCAACCTCCCCCAATCTCCCGCGTACCTAGCGGGCGATCTCCCCCCTCGCAATCTCCCGCAATCTCCCGCAATCTCCCGCAATCTCCCGCAACCTCCCGCGACCTCCCGCAATCTCCCGCGACCTCCCGCGACCTCCCGCGACCTCCCGCAATCTCCCGCAATCTCCCGCAATCTCCCGCAGCGGGCGAGCGCGCGCCGCTTCTTGTTCATCAGCAGGTACGGGTGGTAGCACTTTTCGAACTCGAGCTTAATCGGCTGGATGAAGGTCTGCGTCACCCGCGCCGCCGCCTCCTCGCCGAGCCGCATCGCCTCCGCGAGGCTGTCGGTGCCAAACTTGATCATCACCGAGTCGGTGTCTCCGTAGATGACGACCTATGAAGAGGACAGTCCGGCCGCGCGTAAAAAAAAGAAAGCCAACGTCGCGGGGGAGTGCCTCCGAAGATGACGACCGCGTCGTGCTCGTACCCCTTGGCGACGTTGTAGTTCGCCTCGACGTGCTCCTTTGTCTCCTCGATCATCTGCCGCCCGAAGCCGGTCACCTATCGCCGTCCTCCTCTCCTCGCGACGCGCCTCCCTCCCTCCCCTTCCTCCCCCGCCCGAGTCCGCTCACCGAGGACGAGATCTCGAGGCACGGCAGCTGGCCGACCTGCGCTCCGGTGAAGCCGTAGACGGAGTTGGCAGACACCTTGAGCGCGAGTCAATTGACGAATTACCACCGGGTGCTTTCTTTCATTCATTCATTACTGCAGGCACCTTGAGCGCGAGCTGGCGGCCGTCGTACACGGCGTAGGTGAGGGGGTCCATGTCCTTGCCCTTGGCCTTCTCGGCCTTCATGTCGGCCTTTGCCTTCTTGCGCGCGCCGAGCAGCTCCTCGAGGATCTGCGGGAGATTGGGGGGAGATTGAGGCGGGAGAGTGCGGCGGGATCGAGGGATCGCGGCGAGATTGCGGCGAGATTCTGGCGGGAAGAGGCGGGGTGGGGAGGAGGGGCAGAGAGGAAGGAGAGGAGCGGAGAGGAGCGGAGAGGAGCGGAGAGGGGCAGGGGGAGGGGCGGAGGAGGGGCGGGGGAGGGGCGGAGGAGGAGAGGAGAGGGGAGCGGAGAGGCCTGCGGCAGCAGCCCCTTTTGCCGGCTCGACTTGACAAACACGTCGCCCGTCGGCGTCTTCGTGCAGTGCTCGGCCGGCAGCTTGGAGACGTCGGACCGCCGGACCTGCCGGGAGATGCGGGGAGATATGGGGGAGATATGGGGAGATGCGGGGAGATATGGGGAGATATGGGGAGATGCGGGGAGATGCGGGGAGATATGGGGAGATGTGGGGAGATACGGGGAGGTATGGGGAGATATGGGGAGATACGGGGAGGTATGGGGAGATATGTGGAGATGTCTGGCCGCCGCGCCAGCGTGGAGTAGCACAGGTTGTGCGCCATCATGATGGACGGGTAGAGCGACGCGAAGTCGAGCGTCGCGACAGGCTCGCGGTAGAAGCCCTTCTTGGGCTCGATCACGGTGGCGCCCTCGTACTTGTCGCCCTCGCCCTGCTTGTGCGCCTAGAACAGAGCACACCGCCTGAAAACAGACGCGCAGGCGCCCGCACTTGTCGCCCTCGCGTCTGCTTGCGCGCCTGGACCGGCAGCAGGCAGCCGACCGTCTTTGCCTTGCGGTACAGCTGCGACATGACCTTGATCTGCTGGCCGCGCGTGAGCAGGTAGTTGAGGGGCACGCCGCAGACGCGCGCCATCTCGGAGTAGTTGATCAGGCACATCAGCTTCTGCAGCAGCCGCTGCGGCAGGTAGGCGTCCTTGAGGCAGTACACGGCGAGGCGGCGGCGCGTGTCCGCGTTGCCGGCCTGGAGCTCAGAGATGATCGAGTGGTGCACGTCCTCCTTTTGCTCGCCTGTGGGGGAGATGGGGGGAGATGTGGGGAGATGTGGGGAGATGATCGAGTGGTGCACGTCCTCCTTTTGCTCGCCGAGGAAGTGGGCGCACACGGAGTTGAGCGAGTACGAGGAGAGCTTGTGGTCGCGCTGCAGCACCTGCATGGGGAGATGTGGGGAGATGTGGGGAGATGTGGGGCGAGGTATGGGGAGATATGAGGAGAGCGTGTGGTCGCGGAGCAGCACCTGCAGCATGTCAAACTGGACGCGGCCCTCGATGTTGATCTCCTTGGACTCGCGCGTGCCCGTCTGCTTGGACTGGAACATCTTGTCCTTGACGCGCGTCTTCATGCCCTTGATGCGCCCGAGGTACGGGAAGGTGCCAACCTAGGGGAGATGCGGGGAGAGATGGGGGAGATGCGGGGGAGATACGAGGCACGGGAAGGTGCCAACCTAGGGGAGATGCGGGGAGAGATGGGGGAGATACGGGGAGATACGAGGCACGGGAAGGTGCCAACCTAGGGGAGATGCGGGGAGATATGGGGAGATGTGGGGAGATACGAGGCACGGGAAGGTGCCAACCTAGGGGAGATGCGGGGAGAGATGGGGGAGATGCGGGGAGATACGAGGTACGGGAAGGTGCCAACCTAGGGGAGATGCGGGGAGAGATGGGGGAGATGCGGGGAGATACGAGGCACGGGAAGGTGCCAACCTAGGGGAGATGCGGGGAGAGATGGGGGAGATATGGGGAGAGACGAGGGTACAGGAAGGTGCCAGCCTAGGGGAGATGCGGGGAGATATGGGGGAGATATGGGGAGAGACGAGGGTACAGGAAGGTGCCAACCTTGAGCGTCTCGGCGCGCAGCAGCAGGTAGGGCAGGTCGAAGTTGGCGATGTTGTAGCCCGTGATGATGTCTGCGTCGCTCGCCACGAGGAACTGCTGCCACTTTGCGAGCAGCTCCGCCTCCTTCTCGAACGGGAGGACCTGCTCTCGCGCAATCTCGCGTCATCTCGCGTCATCTCGCGCCTTCTCGAGCTCCGACCTCCTTCTTAGGGGGGGGGAGGGGGGGGCCTCCGCCCCGGAGATATGCCGAGGTCTGGCCGAGGTCTGGCCGAGGTCTGGCCGAGGTCTGGCCGAGGTCTGGCCGAGGTCTGGCCGAGGTCTGGCCGAGGTCTGGCCGAGGTAGAGCCGAAGTCCAATCTAGCCATACCCCCCGAGATGGCGGGGCGTGGTCTCTCGGGCAATCTCGTCGGCAATCTCGTCGGCAATCTCGGGCAATCTCGGGCAATCTCGAGGGCCTGCGCCCCCGATCTCGGGCAATCTCGTCGGCAATCTCGGGCAATCTCGTCGGCAATCTCGGGCAATCTCGAGGGCCTGCGCCCCCGAGATGGCGGAGCAGGTGTCCAGCGTGAAGATGTTCTTGATGCGCGGCTTGGTCTCGCCCTGCAGGCAGAGGCGTGTGAGGGAGCACTCGCCACCGTTGAGAGAGGGACACTCGAGAGCAGCGGGGCGGCGGCGGCAGCACAGCAGCAAACTCGCAAGGCTACTGATAGACCGCGCGGCAGCAGCGGGAGCAGCTCTACTCCTCAGACCACAGAGCAGCAGCACCACCTGCAGGCAGACGTGGTTGGCGATCTGGATCACCGGGTCCTGCAGAGGGACGGTTCCGAGAAGGTTCGGGGACGGGTCCAGCCGGCGGCTCCTCCCCTGCTCATCCTCCCGCGTCCTGCGTCGCGTCCGGGAAGACGCCAGGCCGGCCCGCGCACCTTGGGGAGATGTGGGGAGGTGTGGGGAGGTGTGGGGAGATGTGGGGAGATGTGGGGAGGTGTGGGGAGGTGTGAGGAGACGCTAGGCCGGCCCGCGCACTCGATGTCGAAAGAGAGGATCCGCATCGGCGCCATGCCGAGCCACTCGCCCTCTGGCTGATGCGCGACCAGGTCCGAGAAGAAGAGGTCCGCCTCCAGCTGCGACGTGGTCGCCTAGTACCGCACCCTCCCGCGTCCCGAACCCAAAGTGGGTTCGGTCCCGTGGCTGTAGGGTGAGCTTCCGGTCGCCTTCTTGACCACATGCCCCGTCCCCTCGGAGGTCCACGGGCGCGCGCGCCACTTGCCGGCCGTCAGAGAGAGCCAGCTCATGCCCTGGATGTCGCGGTCGACCATGAAGCGCATCACGTAGGCCCAGTTGGACTCGTACGTCTCGAAGGAGTGCGAGCCTGCCCGCAGATATGGGGAGATATGGGGGAGATATGGGGAGATATGGGGAGATATGGGGAGATATGGGGAGATATGGGGAGAGGTGAAGGAGTGCGAGCCTAGCCGCAGAAGCCGCCAGCCTCAGGGCACGACTGCGGCACTGTGCAGCGTACTGAGAGCACAGCACGGCGTGAGTACGGCTGAGTACGCCTCCTCTCGAGCGCCAGTTGGAGCACACACGCATGCGAGGTATGGGGAGATACGGGGAGATATTCCGCTTCTAGGCAGCCGCGAGCTTGAGGAAGCTCAACGCGTTGGTCTAGGGCACGAGATATGGCGAGATGTGGGGAGGTGTGGGGAGATACGGGGAGATGTCCCGCTTCTAGGCGTGCGCGCCGCCGGAGGGGAGGCTCATCCCTTGCTCGAGCAGCCGGCGCGCCGTCGAGACGAGCGAGGGGAGGCACGTCACGATGCGGAGGAAGACGCTCTGCTGCCCGAAGGAGTAGTTCATGATGGACTTCTTCTGGCACGGCCGCACCATCACGACCGGGTTCAGCACCGGCTCTTTGCCCGATTTGAGCCGCGCGTTGAGCTTCTGCCGGAAGGGCTCGCAGTCCTCCGGCTTGAAGCCGGGCCACGCGCGGACAAAGAAGTAGGGCAGGAAGCCGTGCACGTGCGCCGTCACCGAGTTGCCGCCCTTGGTCACGCCGTAGAAGCGCACGGACGCCGCCCGCTGCTCGCCGGCGCAGAGGGGCGTCGCAAACTCGGGAAGCATGGAGGCGACGGTGTAGTCGGCGTCGATCTGCTGGAAGTCGAGCCCGTCGGTGGCCGGATCGAGCGGCGGCAAGTCCGGGCGCTTCCACCGCTCGCTCTGCGGCACGTCCGCCTCGGCCGCGCCCGCCGCGTCGTCCTCGAGCGGCTCTGGCGGGCCCTCCTCGTCCGCCATCATCTCCTCCTCGTCCTCGAGCATGCCGTCAAGGTCCATGTCGTCAAAGTCGTCGTCGTCGGCGCCCGATCGGCGCTTCGCGGGAGGCGGCGGCGCACCGCCGGGGCGCTTGTTGGCGGAGTGCATATGGTGGGATGTCGTTGCGGCGCTGGGAGTCGCTCGCGCCTAAAGTCCGTGGAAAAGAATTTTACTAACAGAAGGTCGCACGACACGATTCACGCGACAGGCGAGGCGCGGGCGACGGCTTCCTCAGAAGCCGTCGCCCGCACCACAGGAAAAGAATTTTACAACAAAAGCTCGGTGGAAAAGAATGTAAAGAACACAATTCTCGCTCACAGCAGACAGCGAGACAGGCTCGACACAGGTGCGAACTGGCGCGTGCTAGCACTATCACAGGCACACCACTGGAGCCGCCTAAGCGACTCCGTTAAGAACGGCAATGCACTAAGCGTGTGTGTGTGTGTGTGTGCACTAAGCTCCGGGTGCGCTTCTCAGCTCCCCGGCCCTGGATGTGAGGTTAATGACTGCACTCCAAGTGCTCCAAGTGCTCCAACAAAGCTCCCTCGCACAACACTGGGCACGGGCACGGCGCTCGGAGTCGCTCGCGCCTAAAGTCGGAAAAAAGAATTTTACCACAACTCCGCGCACAACACTGGGCACGGGACTGGCGCGCACTGGCACTGAAAAGAATTTAAACAAAACAACTCTCTCTCACAGCAGACAGGCTCGACACAGGTGCGAACTGGCGCGTGCTAGTACTATCACAGGCACACCACCGGAGCCGCCTAAGCGAAAAGAATTTTACAACAAAACTCCCTCGCACAACACTGGGCATTGGAAAAGAATTTAAACACCACAATTCTCGCTCACAGCAGCCATCCCTCCCTTGGGTTGTCCGTTTTCTTTCTTTCTTTCAGCAGCCATCCCTGCAGCGAGAAGCGGCGAGAGACTGCGAAGAGAGATAGGTAGGAAGAGGCAGACTCCCTAGGGTGGGCGACGGCTAGCGCAGCACACACCTCTCCTTAAAATCCCTGTGTGGTGGCGGCGTGCCGTCCTCCCATCCCTCCCTTGGGTTGTCTGTTTTCTTTCTTTTCTTTAGCAGACAGGCTCGACACAGGTGCGAACTGGCGCGTGCTAGCACTATCACAGGCACACCACTGGAGCCGCCTAAGCGACTCCGTTAAGAACGGCAATGCACTTAGCTCCGTGCACAATGCCGCTGTCCCCGCACGCTAGCTCGTTCACCGTCTGCCACGCCACGGCGGTGTGGAGAACGACAGACAAGCGCTGCATCTGCAGCCCGTGCCAGTTCTTGGTGGTCCATGTGACCTCATCGAGGTGCTGAGCGTGCGAAAGTTTGTTACTCAGCTGGTCCGCCGCCTGCCGAAGAATTCTGCGGACGCCGTCCCCGAAGCCGCCGAACGTCTCGAAGTCGAGCAAACGCAGGTCGCAATTCTTCTCCCGCGCGAACCGGTAGTCGCCCTTCTTGTAGGGGGCCGTCACAGGTGCCCCCGCCTCCGCCTCCCCCTCACTCTCCTCCTCCCCCTCCTCCTCTTGCGGCAATGGCTGTTGTGGCCCCAAACCGAACGGCTGTTGCCATTCGCATTGCGGCTCTTTTATATTTTCATTTCTGAAAAGGACCAAACCCCGCTCCTCACTCGACTCGCTGCTCGAGCGGGTGATCTCCCCCTCGGCGCTTGTACGTTGTAGCTCTTACGGCGGTCGAGACGCCGGCGCCGGGCCCCTGCTCACGTTTAGGAGGTATCCTAGGACGACCCATTGATCTGTGCGTGTGTCTGTGTGAGTGTGTGCGTGTGATCACAAAAGCGGTGTCGAGATCGACATGATGTGGAGACGCTGCCTCCGGTTGGGTTCCGGTGAGGTGGAGTGAACACCGACTGCCACACAAACACAGCGTGCAACCGAGTCGCCTCCAAGACACTATGGATTGCCCGAACCTTGCTAGGGTCTTCTCAAACGCATTCTCCCCCCTGCCAGTAGCCCAGGCAGACCCCCCAAAGAGCCGAACAGCACTCTGGTGGCGGTGGAGGCGGCAACGACACGCCAGGCGGCAACGGTGGTAACGGCGGCGGCGGCGGCGGCGGCGGCGGGGGAGGGTTCAATGTGAGCCATCCAATCAAGGCATCCTCGTATGTCCTGCCGACGAAACCGATCGTAGGCGTGAGAGGGGAGTTCGGGTCCAGGCAGACGTCCAGCGTCAGCCCGATTGCTGCCACGCCCACCAGCGCCATCACAGACGGCCACCAGCGGACGTACTTGAATGCGACCGCTTGGAAGACAGAAGCAAGGGCCCAACAAGGGCAAACAATGACGACGAATCGAATCGGAACGAGGACCATGACTACAAAGGGAAGAATGAGGCAATACGCCAAGAATAAACCAACGCGCGCTGCAAAGCCTTCAGTGTCGTTCATCGTGTCGTCGACGAAGGAGTGTTCGTCCTCGAGAAACAGCTTCCAGATTCCAAACAGGGCGAGCGACGCGGCAGCCCACGTCGACGCCAGAGCGCCAACGACCATGACGAAGAGCGAGGAAATCGCGCACGCTGCGTTGGAGCTGAGTGCTCCACCACTGCGGCCAAACGTGGCGGCGGCCCTGTCTTTCCAGTTTGTCGTGAGGCACATGCGCGTCAGGAAGACGACACCACCAAGAAGCAGAGCCCCCGATAGCACGTAGATTGTCACCTCTAGAGGACGCTGCTGGTGCTCGGGCAGGAAAGTGACAAGGATCAAGCAGGTCCAGAGCGGCGTGGCGAGGGCAAGGAGCGTCAAGGCACCTCGCCGACGCAGCCGCTGATCCTGGTATGACGCTTTCGCGGTCTCCTCGGAGACGCTGGGGGCGATCTGGACAGGAATTCCATCGACGACGACGTCCTTCGCCTCGTGGGGAGGGGGAGGAGTCTCTCCGTGCGTGATCCTCGAGCTGGGTGTCATGGACGCAACCCCGACGTGACGCAAGGGGAGCCCGACGCCTTCCTTCATCCTTGTTGTTCAGAACGGCCAGGCTCGGAACGAGGAGAGAGATTTTTATAAACCAACAAGAAACTCTTCCAGGCTCGGTGAGTGAGCACAAACACACACACCAGGCCGGACGGGGGAAAGAAGGAAATGAACAAGAAAACGCAGGCGTGTTGTTGGCGCCTGCAGGACGAGGCAGAAGAGAACAACGCGTCAGAGGAGGAAGTGACAAGGGAGAGAACGACGAGGGTGGGACGACCGCGAGGTGGCATGAAGGTTGCAGCGAGAATAGGCGAGAGACTGCGAAGAGAGATAGGAAGAGGCAGACTCCCTAGGGTGGGCGACGGATAGCGCACCACACACCTCTCCTTAAAATCCCTGTGTGGTGGCGGCGTGCCGTCCTCCCATCCCTCCCTTGGGTTGTCTGTTTTCTTTCTTTCTTTCTTTGTTGGCGCCTGCCGCTTTGAGAGTGCGCTTTCGCGCTTCTCATAGCACAGCTGCAAGACCATCATCCACGATGGCCATGCGTCGTGATTTCTTGTCGGTTAATAAAAATCTCCCCGGTCCTGGGCGTGAGCCGTGAGGTTACTGACCGCGCTCCAAGTGCTCCAAGTGCTGCGTCGTAAGCGCAAGCGTGAAAACCTCGACAGTGGCTGCACGAGCCGAGAACGAGAGGGGGCACTGAGCGACGTCCCGGGGTGAGCTTTGCCGTGAAGTGTGGCGAGCCAGGTGTGCGCACACACTCGCTCGTCGCTGTACGGCTCTTTATGATGCGGCGCCCGGCGGCGCTGGTCAACGGTGAGCTCCTGAGCGCAACTTGAGTTGTGTCGCTTCTAAATTTGCCAAAAGCATACACGCAGCAAATCGTTTCGCGTGCGGCTCAAGCGAGGTGCTGAGAAAGGAAGTCGTGCGCGAGCTCCTGGCACTTGCGCGAGAACTGGTGGCCGTCGTGAGGCAGCTCGTGGAACGACAGCGACCCCTCCCCCTTCCCCTCGCCGCCCCGCTGCCAGTCGGCAAACAGGCGCGCGTTAGCCTGGCCATACGAGACGGGCGTCACCATGTCCTGCCCTCCGTGCGTGGCCAGCACCGGCACGCCGCGCAGCTGCTCCCGCGGCGCCGCCCTCTGCCCCAGCGGTGTGCTCGGCTGCAGCAGCTCGGGCATCAGCCGGCCGGAGAGCGCGAGCGCTCCGGCGATGAAGGAGGGCCGCGGCCACTTGCTCAGCAGCGCGGACCACGCGATCGTGGCGCCCTGCGACCAGCCGAGCAAATACACGCGCGCCGGGTCTGTCCCGAGCGCCTCTGGCGCCGCTTCGATGAAGTCAAAGAGCATGTCGGTCGCGGCGGCGATGCTGCTCTCCAGCGCCCGCGGCTCGGGCGCGGAGCTGTACCCCTCGAACCAGCGATAGCCACCATACGGTGCGCGGAGCGGGGCGCGCAGCGAGGCGACGACTGTGCCCTCCGGCGCCAGCGTCGCTAGAGGAAGCAGGCCCTCCTCGGTGTCGCCTGTGCCGTGGAGGAGGAGGAGGAGGGCAGGAGCAGCGCCGGGGCACGCACGGCCACCACCAGCGCGCTCTGGGTGCAGCCGGTGCCTGAGCATCGGCGGTCGATGTGGCGGTCGCGCGAATTGAATTCTTTTTATGTGTTGCCCGCCCGTCTCAGCCCCTGCCAACGTCCCCTACCCCCACGGAGCTGAACCCACACCAGGCCTGGCTCGATAGCTCCGGCGACAGTGACATGGCAGGTCGACTCGCTGTCTCCCTCGCGCGCACGCGCGCTGACTGACCCCCCCCCCCCTCCCCCCTCTCCCGAGGCTGTCGCCCTCGTCCTCTCGCCCAGCAGCTCGCCGTCGGTCAGGTCTTCCGGCTCTGCCACCCGAACCCGCCGGGGCTGCGCGAAGTGCAGCGCTGCCGCAAGACGGGCTTCCACCCCGATCACCAGCGCAACGGGGGCAGGAGGCGGGCAACGGTGTCTACGAGCATGTCTCACACGTGGAGTGGCACACGGGGAGCAGCGCGCGCGTGGTGGACTTGCGGCGGCGGTGAGGGCGAGGCTCCCTCTGATGTCTGAAAAACGTGTGTCTGAAGTGTCAGACGTGAGCTTGTTGTGTACTTGCACGAAGTTCGGGGGCCGAACGCGAAAACTGTTCCAATTTTTTGAACGGTGACATCAGATCGTTGTGTGAGTTTGTAGAACTGTTCCGATGCCTACTCCTTCCCACCTCTCACTCTCTCCAGACTGAAAGGAACCAATCAGTCAGACAGTCAAATGTCAGTCAGTGTGACGCACATCGGTCATCGCTCTCGACGGGGCAGAGCAAACAGACATCCCTCCCACAGCCGTCAGGTGAACCGCTCACATTGAGCGAATTGCGTTGCCTCTGAAGAACACTGCCAGCACGACGCCGTCAGAAAGGCTCGATGCGGCTCACCGTTGACCAGCGCCGCCGCATCATACAGTGTGCCTGCTCGCCACACTTCGGCAAAGCTCACCGGGAAGTCGCTCAGAGCCTCCTCTCGTTCTCGGCTCGTGTAGCCACTGTAGAGGTTTTCACGCTTGCGCTTGCTACGCAACGTGTTTTTTTGGGGTCTTGCAGCAGTGCTTTGAGGAGCGCGAAAGTGGCAGGCGCCAAGAAAGCCGGTTCTCTTTTTTCGTCACCCACCGAGGACGGCGGGCTCGGCATGTCGGCGGAGGAGGCGGAGGCGCGCGTCAAGGCGTGCAACATCCCCCTGCAGGTCGGCGTGGGACTCGCTGGCGGAGCCGAGGTGGCGATCCAGCTGCTGCAGGAGCATCTGCGGCGCAACCCCGGCCACGCGATCGCCTCGGACGACAAGCGCAACGGCTTCAACTGCATCTCTCGCAAGGCCATCTTCGCGGGCCTGCGGCGGTGGTTCCCGGAGCTCATCCCGACCGTCGCGCTGTGGTATAGCGAGCAGCGCCGCCTCTTTCTCTTCAACGCGGAGGCGCGGTGCAGCTCGGGCGACACCTTCATGTCGACCGAGGGCTGCGCGCAGGGCGATCCTCTCGGGCCCTTCCTCTTTGCCGTCGGCTATCATTGGACCCTGCTCGAGATGCAGGTGCGCAACCCGTCCGCCCTAATCTGCGCCTACCTACGTCGCGGACGCGCCGAGGGCGGCTCTCGAGACGATGCTCGAGGGCGACGACCTTGCTCAACTCTGGAGTGGCGTCGAGAGCAACAAGTCCAAGCGGTGCATGTGGGCCCCCGACCCGCGCTCGCTCGACGCGGTGCGCGACCGCACGGATGTCAAGGGCACGCCGGACTCCGCAGACGGCGTCCTTCGCGGTATTCGCGTGCTCGGGGCGTACCTCGGGGACAAGGCGTGGTGCCGTGACAAACTCGTCAAGCGCGTCCGCAAGGCGCTGGAGCCGCTCTCGGGCATCATGGCGCTGCGCGACACCAAAACGATCCACACCGCGCAGCAGCTCGCCCAGGTGCTCCTCCGCTTCTGCAGCAACACCACGCTCACCTTCTTCCTTCGCACTATGCCGCCGTCGGTGACCCAGGACGCCGCGCGCGAGCACGACCGCCTGATGGAGGAGGCGCTCTACACCCTCGTGGGTGGCGCGCGGGTCGCCGGTGGCGCAGCGCCGACGCAACCCCAACGCGCCGACCAACAGCGCTGCCGACGACTCCAAGAACGGACATCTCCTGGCCGAGTCGATCAACATCAAGTCGAAGGACAACACGAGCGCGCCACCCGGGCCCACCGCGGGGTCGCCATCTCTGCCGCGCCATGGCGAAGAAGATAGCCACGGAGGTGGCGGACGGTCTCAAGGAGGCGGTGGCGCCCTTCCTCAAGGCGCAGGCCGGCTTCATGCAGATGATGGCCAAGGAGACGTCGCTCCCGCGGCAGCGGCTTTCCTTCGGGTCGCCGGGGGTGGCCGTCGAGCTGGACGACTCGCCCAAGGCGGCGGAGGAGGCTGGCTTCGAGGAGGCCGAGGAGGAGGCGCCGGCGACGCCGGCGCGCATCCACCGCAAGCGCCGCGCCCCTGGCGCCGTGCACCAGGATGAGGCGGCGGCGGCGGCGGCGGCGGCCAAGGCGATGGCGAAGGCCGTTGGCGGATCGTATAAGGTGCCGCGCGGCCCACCGCCGCCAGATGCGACGGCGTAGGAAGTGGGGGGTGCCTCCTAGATTAGGTAGCGAGGAGCCCGCCCCTAACTGCCGCGGGGCGCGCCAGGGGCGCCAGGGCCCAGGGCGGGGCCGATGTTGCTGGGGGACGCAGTTTTTGCACTTTTGGTGGATCACTTCTCACTTTAAAATGTGAGTTTTCAGATTTTCACATCGTGTTCTCTCGTTTGTGGACGGGCAGGGATGTGTCCAGAATATTCCAAGAAGATAGTTGCACGATGTGCAGAGCAGTATGATGAGTTATGACGCGAGACGAGAGAAAGATTTTTAGCAGTGAAGAAGGAATACTGACGTACTTACATACGACTGACGTACTTACGGACGGTGTCGCAGGAGCGCTGACCGCGGTTGAGCCTCCCCCCCCCCCCCCGCCTGGCGAGCCTGGCGTCCCGAGCCCGCTCCATGCGCCCCTCGACCTAGACCTCGACTCGCCGCGGTTCGCTGGGCGCGCTGGACTCGCTGCCTAGCTCGCTCGGCTGGCTAGCGTCTATGCTGGAGTCGCTCGGGGGAAGAACGGAGGCGGAGCCGAGTGGCGCGGTGAGCCCAGCGGTGGCTAGCGACCTGCTCCGCGCGTTGCGTCGTCTGTAGCGCACGAGGCCGAGTCCACAGGCGAGGGACAGCAAGAGCACCGCGATGATCACGGAGATGAGGCCCACGCCTCGGAGGGGTCCTGTCGCGCTACTCGGTTCGCTGATCGTGGACGTGGAGGCTTGCGGCGGCAGCGGCGGGAGCGGCGGCGGAGGGCTCTGCATGGACGACGGTGGGGGCCGCTCCACCGCGGGGTCGCACGCTGCCATGGCTCGCTGGATGGTTGGATAGGCGCCCTCGCTGCTCGAGCCACGTCCAATGCACACAGGTGGGATCGACGAGAAGGAGCGCATCGACCCGTCGAGCTCCGTCAGAGGCACCCAGAGGAAGACGTCGAAGGCGCACGCCTTGTTGGGTGCCTCTTGGCGCAAGCTAAGCGTGTTGCCCTTCAGCGCGATGGACCCGCCAAAGCCAGGGAGCATGTTGGAACACTTTCGCCGATAGAGAGTGAGCGCGTACTCCGGGTTTTCTGCGATCCCGTATTCGAGACGGCGTGCGAACCGCACTTGAACGCCGGGGGTGCCCGGCTCGCATCGCTCGCAGTCCTTGTCGGGCCTTTGTCGATTCGAGAGCTTGCCGACTCGATCCGGATTAGGGGCGAGGCCCGTGAGGAAGAGCTCGGTGGCAATCTGAACGCCGGGGGCGTGCACCTTGAGCCAGAGGCCCCCGTTCTCTCGGCTGCTCCATATCTCGACTTGTCCGTTCATCTCCTGGGCGCCAGGACGGAGTGATTGCTCCGTAAGTTCGGCCAGAGCAGAGGCGACGTCCGTCTCCCCATTCAGCGACAAGCGGCGGGCGCTGTTCGGGGAGGACGGCGGGGGGGCCAGCGGTGGGGTCGGGGGGGCTAGCGGCGGCGGCGACGGTGAGGCATCGCGCTCAACGTGGTCGATACCGCTCAAGCAAGAGCCCTCGTGCACGCCGAGCATCCAGTCAGATCGCGACTCCACGTCACCGGCGTCCGGGCCGGCAAAGCCGCACCTCAGAGCGGTGCCAGCGCGCCTGCGCGTTGTGTTGACGACCCGAGGGTCGGAAGGCAGGCCGTCGTATGGCGTGGCCTTGAACTGGTACCAAAGAAGCGCTGCGATGTCGTAGGCTCCAACGACACCGTCGCCGACCGAGGCGTTGCCGCATTGCTCAAATCCGAATAGGGACTCGTCGGTTTGGACTAGCTGGCTATTGTTCATCATCATTGCATGGAACACCTCCGTCTCAGGGTCATAGACCGTGGCCTCGGAAGAATCGGTCACGGTGCCAGACTCGTAGTCCATGTTGTGAATCCCGAGGGTGGAGCTGCCAGCGATGTCGAGGCACTCGAGCAAAGGCTGGACCGCAGCAGCACACGTGTAATTGTCATAATTGTCGTGTCGCGCTGAGGCGAGCCAGAACTCCTCCATCATCAGGAACTCGGCAACCAAG